GAGATGCAAAATCCCCCTAAAGATTTCCCAGACCATTATTAGTGTCAGGTCCTAAATTTAGAGCCACTAGGGTCAAACTGAGGAGTCAAAGGTTAGGAGGATGTCTTAAAAGCCCCAAACTGTAACACAGCCAAAAAGCTCAAAATAGAGGATGGGACAACACATTAGGAGATAAGCAGTCAGTAGCTAGTCTAGCTGTCCCTCTGGTCGACTGGCTGGGTCTATTTTCTATCCCACAGAGTAGAGGATGGATGGGAGGAAGGAACTCCTTGTTTCCTGTAAATAGAGGGAGGAGTGCAGCAGCTATCATTGTTTTGACAACATGAGCAGCGTGGATGTTGTTCTTGTCTGACAGTCGTCACATTGACCTGTGAAGGGAGTCTTTCCCTACATGCCCTGGGGTCAATTGGAAACATCCACCCGTTGATTTATGAGATTCTTATCAAAACTGTAGGCAGATGAATGGCTTCTTGACTAACAGGAATGCAGACGATGTTTGAATGATTTCACTAGGAAGGGTTTTGTCTGACCTGGGAACTTGTTCCATCTTGAAGATGAAACCACACTCAGGGGGAACAAATGGCACTCTGTTAGCAGCTTAGAAATCCAATGGTAATGACTCAGAAAGGTGAACAAAATAGTCTGCTTAGGGGTTAATGACCATGAAAACTTTTGAAGCATAATTTCTCAGGCTCATCAACCCATTCCAATGTTGGGAACAATTACAGATATGAGCTGACTATAGTCTATCATTTCAAACATAGCCATTACCATACAAGGGAAACAGAGGTGTCTGATACTTCAATTACTGCTGCTCTACAATCCACATCAAAGCTGACATTAAACCCATTTGACCCTCAGTCGTGACCCAGAGAGAGCCCCTTCCAGGCTGGGTCTGTATTGTCTATATATGCCCCCAAATAGAGTGTCTGTCTGGAGGAAACCGTGTTGGGAGGAAGTGTGGTGGCACAGGTAGATGAGGCAATGAGACTGTCCGTGTCTCCCTGACAGGACACACACACCCTGGATATAGCATTACAACCCAGGAGGGAGGAAGAGACCCATATCCTTTACCATCATCATGACGGAATATGGGCTCACAGCTGCTTGGTTGTAAAGACGATGAGAGACACAATTTAGGGATGGGGAGACAGGTCTATTTCTAGAAGAAAAAAAACATTTGGAGGGTGGGTATTCTATGTCCAAGTGTCATGGGTTCAAGATTTGGCAACAATTTAGAACACAAAAATCACAATATCTCACCAGATATCTCACCTCTCCTCTCTCTTTGAAGCTCTGATATGTAATGTGTTGATGTTTGGTTTGGAGTAAGATGCCAGTGATGTAATGTGAATGGAATCTTAATGTTCCTGTAACAGACACATTGTATGCCTCATCATATGTTCCAAGGCCACAACTTCTAAAGACACAGGGGAAACAGATTTAACAGCAACAGAAGGACAGTCAAAATACTCACTTGGTAAATTTTGGGGGATTATGAACACACAATCGGTAATTTCTACAAAATGTATCTGACTCTATCAAACAGATAATTCCTTTAGAAACTTTGTTTCTCATGCACTTAGTTCTTACACACTTGGGGATAGGTCGGACGTCATAATGCAAAGTTAAATGCATTTTTCTAATATGAGAGAGATTCCTGATATGTTGTTTAGAAGACTAATTTCCTGGGCATTAAGACAGATTTAAAGGCCAGTGCAGTCAAAAACATGATTTTCCTGTGTTTTATATATATTTCCACATTATGAGGTTGAAATAATTGCTCTTTGCTAAGAAGATATTTTAGTATATTTTTGACCATTTTAATTGGAGAAAAAAAAATTGCAGCAAGGTACTTACAGTGAGGGAAAAATCCCCTGCTGATTTTGTACGTTTGCCCACTGACAAAGACATGATCAGTCTATACATTTAATGGTAGGTTTATTTGAACAGTGAGAGACAGAATAACAACAAAATAATCCAGAAAAACGCATGTCAAAAATGTTATAAATTGATTTGCATTTTAATGAGGGAAATAAGTATTTGACCCCCTCTCAATCAGAAAGATTTCTGGCTCCCAAGTGTATTTTATACAGGTAATGAGCTGAGATTAGGAGCACACTCTCAAAGGAAGTGCTCCTAATCTCAGTTTTTTACCTGTATAAAAGACACCTGTCCACAGAAGCAATCAATCAATCAGATTCCAAACTCTCCACCATGGCCAAGACCAAAGAGCTCTCCAAGGATGTCAGGGACAAGATTGTAGACCTACACAAGGCTGGAATGGGCTACAAGACCATCGCCAAGCAGCTTGGTGAGAAGGTGACAACAGTTGGTGCGATTATTCGCAAATGGAAGAAACACAAAATAACTGTCAATCTCCCTCGGCCTGGGGCTCCATGCAAGATCTCACCTCGTGGAGTTTCAATGATCATGAGAACGGTGAGGAATCAGCACAGAACTACACGGGAGGATCTTGTCAATGATCTCAAGGCAGCTGGGACCATAGTCACCAAGAAAACAATTGGTAACACACTACGCCGTGAAGGACTGAAATCCTGCAGTGCCCGCAAGGTCCCCCTGCTCAAGAAAGCACATATACAGGCCCGTCTGAAGTTTGCCAATAAACATCTGAATGATTCAGAGGAGAACTGGGTGAAAGTGTTGTGGTCAGATGAGATCAAAATCAAGCTCTTTGCCATCAACTCAACTCGCCGTGTTTGGAGGAGGAGGAATGCTGCCTATGACCCCAAGAACACCATCCCCACCGTCAAACATGGAGGTGGAAACATTATGCTTTGGGGGTGTTTTTCTGCTAAGGGGACAGGACAACTTCACCGCATCAAAGGGACGATGGACGGGGCCATGTACCGTCAAATCTTGGGTGAGAACCTCCTTCCCACAGCCAGGGCATTGAAAATCGGTCGTGGATGGGTATTCCAGCATGACAATGACCCAAAACACACGGCCAAGGCAACAATGGAGTGGCTCAAGATGAAGCACATTAAGGTCCTGGAGTGGCCTAGCCAGTCTCCAGACCTTAATCCCATAGAAAATCTGTGGAGGGAGCTGAAGGTTCGAGTTGCCAAACGTCAGCCTCGAAACCTTAATGACTTGGAGAAGATCTGTAAAGAGGAGTGGGACAAAATCCCTCCTGAGATGTGTGTGCAAACCTGGTGGCCAACTACAAGAAACGTCTGACCTCTGTGATTGCCAACAAGGGTTTTGCCACTAAGTACTAAGTCATGTTTTGCAGAGGGGTCAAATACTTATTTCCCTCATTAAAATGCAAATCAATTTATAACATTTTTGACATGCATTTTTCTGGATTTTTTTGTTGTTATTCTGTCTCTCACTGTTCAAATAAACCTATCATTAAAAATTATAGACTGATCATGTCTTTGTCAGTGGGCAAACGTACAAAATCAGCAGGGGATCAAATACTTTTTTCCCTCACTGTAATTGTTACCCAGAAAATATTTGATATTGAGATAAAAAGGCTGCATAGTGTACCACCGTATGAATCATAATACCCATAAAAGCTAGCGGTCAAAGAGGGAAATAGTTCCAATCGTTTTTCCACCATTCATTTTTTCCCATAGGGGATTTTAAATAAGGGCTGTGTTTCGTGTAGGCTTACCCTGGTGTGACGTTTTGATAACCGTGTAAATCTCTCTAGGACAAGGTAACTTTTTGTATTTTTGTACCCCTTTTTTCTCCCCAATTTCGTGATTACAATCTTGTCTCATTGAGAAGCGCTGCATCTCCCCAAAGGGCTCGGGAGAGGCGAAGGTTGAGTCATGCGTCCTCCGAAACATGACCCGCCAAGCCGCGCTTCTTAACACCTGCTTGCTTAACCCGGAAGCCAGCTGCACCAATGTGTCGGAGGAAACACTGTTCAACTGATGACCGAAGTCATCCTTCAGGCGCCCGGCACAAGGAGTCGCTAGAGCGCAATGAGCCAAGTAAAGGCTCCCCGGGCCAAACCCTCCCCTAACCTGGACGATTCTGGGCCAATTGTGTGCCGCCCTATGGTACTCCCGGTCACAGCCGGTTGTGACACAGCCTGGGATTGAACCCCAGGCTGTAGTGACGCCGCAACACTACGATGCAGTGCCTTAGACCGCTGCACCACCTGGGAGGCCCAGGACAAGGTGACTTATCAATATATTTGCCTGTATTTGACCCCCCCCAAAATGAAATGCTAATTAGCTGCTAATGTGGCTATGAGTGCCATGATGATCTGGACGAGACTGCCGAAGCGAAGCAAAGGTAAGAATCTTTGGATTAACTATCTAATGTTAGCTAAATGTAGTAATGAATAAATTGGCAAAATTTCTTTAAATGGACAATTCTGTGAACTGTCTTGAGCAAGTTTTAAATTGACACAATACCTGTTAGCAAAGGTGTCAGCTAGAGATGACGTGCAGGAGCTTGCAGGGATTTGTTGTTTTGTATGATGTCTACTTTGATGCTAATTAGCATTTTCGAATCTCAGAATAAATTGAAACAAATATATTGATAAAAGTCACCTTGTCCGAGAGAGATTTACATGGTTATAGAAACGTCATGCCAGGGTAAGTCTACATGAATCACAGCCCTTATTTTAAGTGCTTCTAAAATCCCCTATGGGAAAAATGAATGGTGGAAAAACGATTGGAACCATTTCCCTGTTTGACAGCCATACGTTTTATGGGTATTATGACACCTCCACCATGGGGCTCTATTGGACCTTCAATTTACATTCCAATTGTAATGTATCATATGGGGGGCATTCTATTGCTCATAAAAATCACTTCGTTAACATTTAAAAAACGCGTTATTATACCTTTTATGTGTTAGAAATGTAATTAATCTGTACATAATGTCAACTAGTATAGTTTGCCTAATAAGACAACTGTTCTGCCAGTGCTGTGCTTATGGTTTGTGCATTGCCTTGTTTATGATGCCATCTATTGGCTCTATTTGAGCATTGCAGACATTTCTGGCCATGCTTTTATGTACTACCGGTTCGCCAAGATACCAATGGCCGCCTCCATAAACTCCGACGGCATGAAAAATATGTTGCAATTTATGAAACTTATTGGGCAACTGAAAGTAAGACATTTATTACGATAAGGTTTATTTAACGGCACTATTCATGTGATGAAGCATAATTTCAACCCATGTTTGTTTGCATGATTTAAATGAATAGTATAACTTACCCTACCTTTTTTATGGCTACTTTTTGGCAACAATTTCTTTACCTCCATCCTGCAGCGCGTGCCACGGACGGGCTGGGTCTACAGGAACGTGAAACAGCCGGAAAGTGTGTCTGACCACATGTACAGAATGTCCATGATGGCTCTGACGATAGCAGATCACAACGTCAATAAAGAAAGGTAAAGTTGGTTTGCAAACTAGATCATCTGTTCAAACTTCAAACATTGCAGGTATAATATAATTTGTTATAAACGTTGCATTACTTTCTTTGACTTTTTCATGCTTAATTACTAGGTAAGGCCTACAATGAAGTATTATATTGGATGCAGGTATTTATGGATTTCTTTTTTTATGAATGACCTACATTTCTCTCTTAGGTGCATGAAGTTGGCCTTGGTTCATGACATGGCAGAATGCATTGTGGGTGATATTGCACCAGCAGACAACGTTAGTAAAGCAGAGAAACACAGAAGGGAAGAGGCAGGTTATTTTTACAAACCTTCCATGGTGTCAAAATGTAGGAAATTGTAGATTTGTAAATTCCTCAGAAATATCAGTCAATGACAATCTGTCCTTTCTCAGGAAGCAATGCGGCACCTCACTGGTCTTCTCCAGGAGGGCTTGAGGAAAGAAATCTATGAACTCTGGGAGGTCAGTCACAGCTGTTTTCCCACTTTGTTACATTCATCTTTATGTGCCTGTAGTATGTGTTTGTTTCTCATCTCTCCAATCAACCAGCTGTTAAATTGGTCTTTCGGACGTGGTGGAACGCTATCCCTCCACATCCCGGTTCAACCCTAATGCTAGCCTCAACCCTACCTTCATGTCCATACCCCAGCTCAACCCTAACTGTCTACACTCTTAGAAAAAAAGGATGCTATCTAGAACCAAAAATGTCTCTTTGGCTGGCCCCATAGGAGAACCCTTTGAAGAACCCTTTTTGGTTCCAGGTAGAATAGTTTTGGGTTCCATGTAGAACCCTTTCCACAGAGAGTTCTATATGGAACCCAAAACGGTTCTACCTGGAACCAAAAAGGGTTCTCCAATGGAGACAGCTGAAGAACCCTTTTGGAACCCTTTTTTCTAAGTGTAGTATCAACCACAACCCTAACTCTATACCTTCATGTCCAGACCCCGGCTCAACCCTAACCCGAGCTTCAACACAACCCTAACACTAATCTAGTTCCCAGACACTTCTGCCCAAATGCGCGAAGAGTCTGGTGAACCAATGCGTCAAACTTGGCCTTCGTTATCGTTAGTCAATACAGAGAGCCAGAAGAATCTCCCGGTGCATCTCCCACAACACCTTCCTCCTAAACCTTCCTCGTACGTATCTTGTGCACCTCAGTTTACGTTCCGCCTTGCAGTTGTGTGATTCGCTAAAATTAAATTATGACAAATACTTTACTCAGTAGGTCACGCCCATAGAATTATATGGTCACTCCCACTAAGGCCATTGAATCGTTGATAACCCAGGCTTACAGTGCATTTGGAAAGTATTCAGACCCCTTGACTTTTTCCACATTTTGTTACATTACAGCCTTATTCTAAAATTAAAATGTAAATGGATTAAATGATTTTTTCCCTCATCAATCTACACACAATGCCCCATAATGACAAAGCAAAAACGTTTTAATTTTTTTATTTACAGCTTGAGTCTTCTTGGGTATAACGCTACAAACTTGGCACACCTGTATTTGGGAAGTTTCTCCCATTCTTCTCTGCAGATCCTATCAAGCTCTGTCAGGTTGGATGGGGAGCATCGCTGCACAGCTATTTTCAGGTCTCTCCAGAGATGTTAGATCGGGTTCAAGTCCGGTCTATGGCTGTGCCACTCAAGGACATTCAGAGACGTGTCCCGAAGCCACTCCTGCGTTGTCTTGGCTGTGTGCTTGGGGTCGTTGTCCTGTTGGAAGGTGAATTTTCACTCCAGTCTGAGGTCCTGAGTGGTCTGGAGCAGGTTTTCATCAAGGATCTCTCTGTACTTTGCTCTGTTCATCTTTCCCTCGATCCTGACTAGTCTCCCAGTCCCTGCCGCTCAAAAACATCCCCACCGCATGATGCTGCCACCATCTTGCTTCACTGTAGGGATGGTGCCAGGTTTCCTCCAGACATGACGCTTGGCATTCAGGCCAAATAGTTAAATCTTGGTTTCATCAGACCAGATAATCTTGTTTTTCATGGTCTGAGAGTCTTTAGGTGCCTTTTGGCAAACTCCAAGCAGGCTGTCATGTACCTTTTACTGAGGAGTTGCTTCTCCCCCGATTGCTAGGAAGAGTCTTGGTGGTTCCAAACTTCTTCCATTTAAGAATAATGGAGGCCACTGTGTTCTTGGGGACCTTCAATGCTGCAGACACTTTTTGGTACCCTTCCCCAGATCTGTGCCTCGACACAATCCTGTCTCGGAGCTCTACTGACAATTCCTTCGACCTCACGGCTTCGTTTTTGCTCTGACATGCACTGTCAACTGTGGGACCTTATACAGACAGGTGTGTGGCTTTCCAAATCATGTCCAATCAATTGAATTTACCACAGGTGGACTCCAATCAAGTTGTAGAAACATCTCAAGGATGATCAATGGAAACAGGATGCACCTGAGCTCAATTTCGAGTCTCATAGCAAAGGGTCTGAATACTTAAGTAAATAAGGTATTTCGGTTTTTTATTTTAAATAAATTAGCAAAAATGTATACAAACCTATTTTCGCTTTGTCATTATGGGGTATTGTGTGTAGATTTATGAGGGGAAAAAATCATTTAATCCATTTTAGAATAAGGCTGTAACATAACAAAATGTGGAAAAAGTCAAGGGGTCTGAATACTTTCCGAATGCACTGTATATGCGCTGTGCACAATAGCCTGGGGACAAGTTTACCCTAACCTTAAAGTGGAACTGACAGGATTTTAGCAACATTAAATCTTATTAAAATGTGTTGATATACACCCCCAGGAAGAATATGACACCTTTTCTTTTTGGTTTTACATTTTCTGACAAGCGAGCATTTAGATATGGTCATTTCCACATTTTCATAAATTCCTAGAATGTTTGGGACATATACTAAGGTGTTTGTGACGATTCTATAGCAATACATTTAGTTTTATTTTATTTTTATTTAACCTTTATTTAACCAGGTAAGCCAGTTGAGAACAAGTTCTCATTTACAACTGCGACCTGGCCAAGATAAAGCAAAGCAGTGCGATAAAAACAACAACACAGAGTTACATATGGGGTAAAACAAAACATAAAGTCAAAAATACAACAGAAAATATATATACAGTGTGTGCAAATGTAGCAAGTTATGGAGGTAAGTCAATAAATAGGCTATAGTGCAAAATAATTACAATTAGTATTAACACTGGAATGATAGATGTGCAAGAGATGATGTGCAAATAGAGATACTGGTGTGCAAATGAGCAAAATAAATAACAATATAGGGATGAGGTAGTTGGGTGGGCTAATTTCAGATGGGCTGTGTACAGGTGCAGTGATCGGTAAGGTGCTCTGACAACTGATGCTTAAAGTTAGTGAGAGAGATAAGTCTCCAGCTTCAGAGATTTTTGCAATTCGTGGGTAAGTGGCCGTGCGTTTGGACAATTAATAGTAACTGCAGTAAATAAAACCTAAAAAAACATCTGTCTCGTCCAGGACCGGAGTCTACGCAGACCGGTGTGCCATAGCCAAGCAGACCTTCAGTAGGCCTTTATGCAAATAAGCCATTTGCCACGAGGGCCTGCCAACATTCACTTTGAACTGGACTGTGTGTTTACAGGTAGTAGCAACTGCACGACTTTAGATCATTAGAACACATTCGCCAAAAGCCAGAATATACACCTGAATGGATTTCTGCAAATATGTAAATACCACGGGAGGCCTCTTACATTTGGGAACATTCCAGTCCTATTGATCAAACAACCATGAAAAGGTATGCTCTATCCCTCAGTTATCAACAACAAGACCAACAACTAATGCTAGCCAGAGCGAGATTAACTAAAATCTAACGAGGGAACATTATATAAACTTTCTCAAACTTTTTAAGCTAGTTGGCCGTCATAAATTGAACTGATAAACTATGGTGGAATAGTAGAATGCTCGTCCTTCTGCAGCTTGCCTGCCAATGCATGCTTTTCCCAACCCACGTTTTGACAACTGAATGGGAACTTGCCTGCCTGTCCATTTGATCTATGAAAAATACATTTGATTGACAAATAGCTGAGGGTAGGTTCATAAATTGCCTCCAGTGTGTCAGTGCGCTCTGGGTCGTTCATAAATTCCGAGCGTGGTCAGATTGTCTGTTCGTAAATTCAGTGTTTCGCTCTCTGAGCGTTCAGCGCGCACACTACACGATTGACACTGGAGGCTCTGGCCGAGGAGTAGGTAGGGTTGATCCGAGCGTTCCTCACAACGGCAGTCAAGCACCCAAGCTAACTGGCTAAAGATACAAATGAGAGAACACCTCACTCTGACCATTATACTCGCCCTAGCAGAGATGGTCAGGCTGTTTACATGTTGTCTAGAGCGTTAGTGACTGTTGCTTTTTTTGCCTACGTTTACTGACACAGTTCATATTCAGTGGGTGTTGCGCGTTTGTAAACAGTGTTGCCAACTTAGCGACGTTGTCGCTATATTTAGCGAGTTTTCAGACCCTTCTAGCGACACATTTTCAAAAAAGCGACTAGCGACAAATCTAGCGACTTTTTCTGGTGTTATTGGAGACTTTTGGAGACTCTGACGTGAAAGCAGGTATCATTCTTACTCTTCACAACGAGCAGCGGGTGCTGCCGTGGGCCCCACCTAACGTTAAGCTCCGTGCTTTTAGCTTGCTAAATAAACAGCTACATAAATAGATACGCTTATTAGCCACGTTATGACTGACTTGATCATTGTCCTTGCTAGTTTTTTTTGTAGTAAAATTCCCAGCCTTTGAAACTGAAAGTGAAGTGGGTGGAGGGCAGCAAACAATGTACTACCATTAGGCCAGCTGTGATTTACAACCTGATAGCAATATTTTTTGGACTACCAACAAATGTATTGGTTAATTATATTAATCATGCATTGAACTGCATCCATCTATTCTGCCAACAATGCCTTAGTGCAGTCCTTCTCAAATAGTGGGGCCCCGGGGAACATGCTTTTTTTTTGCCGCAGGGAGTAGGGTTTTGATGACATGACAAACTCCCTGTGTGAGGATCTACTTTTTTGTAAATATGTCAGAGACTGAGCCACAGATGAAGAGCTATTCAAAATGCTGGACTGCTTCCTGACTGAGAATGGGTTAAAGTGGGAGAACTGCATTGGTGTTTGCAGTGATGGTGCACAGACTATGGCAGGGATGAGAAAAGGACTTCGGGCACTCATCAAGAAGGCCTCACCTAATGCTGAGTGGACACACTGTGTTATACACAGAGAAGCACTGGCATCAAGGCACCTTTCCTCTGAATTATGTGAGGTTATGACTGACATTGTAGGTGTAGTCAATTTTATAAAGACCAGACCACTAAAAACAAGAGTCTTCTCTGCAATCTGTGAGGTGATGGGAGCTGAACATCAAGCTGTGCTGTTTCACAGTGAAGCAAGGTGGCTGTCACGAGGAAAAGTATTGTCCCGAGTTTTTGAGCTCAGAGAGCAGATAAGAATGTTTTCGGAGCAGGAGCACAAGTATGACCTCGCAGAAAAATTTTGTGATGAGAACTTACTGGCAAAACTGGCCTACCTGAGTGACATATTTGGAAAGCTAAATGAACTAAATCTACAGCTTCAAGGGAAATATAAACACCTCCCTCAGGTCACAGACAAGATCAGCTCTTTCACTCGAAAGCTTGCAATGTGGGGCAGGCGACTTGATGAAGGAAATACTGATTCATTCGAGAACCTGCATGAATTTGTTGACACTACTGACTATGATGCCACCTCAGTGATTCCATATATTAAGCAGCATTTTTCATCACTGATGGGATTCTTTAAAAAGTACTTCCCTGAAAACAGTTCCCAATATGACTGGGTGAGATATCCTTTCAATGCACCAGCTCCAACTGGTTTCAGCTCTGCAGAGGAGGACCAGTTCATTGATATGACGTCTGACTCCACATTGAGACTGAGGTTCACATCACAGACACTGAGTGAATTCTGGCTGAGTGTAGAGAGGCAGTATCCACTCTTAGGGCAGAGGGCCATGGGCATTCTTCTTCCTTTTGCAACATCTTATCTTTGTGAGACTGGCTTCTCTGCTGTTGCTGCACTGAAGACCAAGTACAGGTCCCAGCTAAACATTGAGCAGGAGCTGAGAGTTGCAGTATCATGCTTCAAACCCCGCTTCGAAAAGCTGTGCACTGCAAAACGTGCTCATTGTAGCCATTAATCCTGACTTCCTCATTTTGATAAAAAAGAATCAGCACAAATTGTTCATATATTGTGCTCCTGAGTTAATGTTGCTGATCAATTTGAATGTATTATTATTTATTGATTATATTTTATTTTATTTTTCAGTATGAAATGGTCAAAAAAAATTTACAGTTTAAATAAGGTTTGAATATTTTTTTTAAAATTTCAGGTAAATTGATGCACTTTAAGTATTTTCTGTTACAGACTAAAAAACAATGTTAATAAAGTTATTCTTTGTTCACCTCCCGAGTGGCGCAGTGGTCTAGCTAGCTGTACCACTAGAGATCCTGGTTCGAATCCAGGCTCTGTCGTAGCCGGCCGCGACCGGGAGACCCATGGGGCGGCGCACAATTGGCCCAGCGTCGTCCAGGGTAGGGGAGGGAATGACCGGCAGGGATGTAGCTCAGTTGGTAGAGCATGGCGTTTGCAACGCCAGGGTTGTGGGTTCGATTCCCACGGGGGGCCAGTATGAAAAATAAAAAAAATAATGTATGCACTCACTAACTGTAAGTCGCTCTGGATAAGAGCGTCTGCTAAATGACTAAAATTTAAAAATGTAAATGTAAGTTGATCTATATTTCTTTCTTTTATATTTCTTTTATTTTTCTTTCCTTTTTTTCTTTAATGTTAATAAGGATACAATGTTATGCAGAGGTGTACTTATAACAATTTTATAGACAAATTATACTATTTACAGTCGCGGCGGAGAGTTGGGGGGCGCAAAATGTTTACTTCTTCCTAGGGGGGGGCGTAACAGAAAATAATTGAGAAGCACTGCTTTAACCCAAGTTGCAGGAGCCCAGCTCCGGGTAGCTCCAGCTCAATTTAACCACTGCCCACACCGTGTGCCCAGGAGTACGAGAGCCAGGCGAGTGCTGAGGCTAAGCTGGTAAAAGAGTTTGGACCTGCTAGAGATGATTCTGCAGGCCCATGAGTACGAGGAGCTGGAGGGGAAACCAGGCAGGCTACAGGAGTTCTTTGATTCCACACAAGGTAGGTACTACCTCTTCTTTAACCTGGTAGTGAGGGCTGATGATCGGCTCTATGGGCTATCTAAAGGTGGTGTAAAAAATTTTAAAATCTCCATCCACCTCAGGCCGATTCCACCACCCAGAGGTAGTCCAGTTTGTGAAGAGTCTAAATGAAGAAAGAGCTGATCACATGGCAGCTGGAGGTGATGGGTCATCTGGGAGCTCAGAGTCCAAGAAACCAAGAACAGACTCCTCCTGACTTCAACATTCCCACTGAATGACGCTACATTCAGCTTGTGTCAATGATGTTGTGGTAGCCACTGTTCGAACTGCTCCTCACATGACATGGTAGAATGTTGTCATGGAAACCTGGTGGTTCTGGTTGGTGAGTTGTGGAATAATGAAGCAAAAGATGTGCTATCGTTGAAAACAAACGTGTGCCCTGTTTTACTCCCAAAATGCTCATTTTATTTTACATAGATGGACAGGATTTTGAAAGTCATTTGTTTATAATGAACGTTTCCGGATGTGCACATATTTCACCTGTACAATTCCTGTGATGTATCAGAAGATGCACCTATTTTATTTTGTTTTGAGTTGTTTGACCTCTTAAGCTGTAAGGCTTCATTAAAACCATTGGTTATGACTACTAGTTATATGACTACAACATTTCTTGGAAATAATTCCCATAGGCCTACACGTTCCAATCAATAGAAACTGCAAATACCTCAGGCTCCATTATAATAAACCTAACGCAATGGTCAATCTAAGCGCTGGGCGGTTTTATGCACCTCCAAAGCATTTTTTTTTTTGGCCACACCCGTTGCTGACAGGTGTATAAAATCGAACACACAGCCATGCAATCGCCATAGGAAAACATTGACAGTAGAATGGCCTTACTGGAGAGCTCAGTTACTTTCAACGTGGCACTGTCATAGGATGCCACCTTTCCAACAAGTCAGTTCGTCAAATTTCTGCCCGGCTAGAGCTGCCCCGGTCAACTGTAAGTGTTGTTATTGTGAGGTGGAAACGTCTAGGAGCAACAACGGCTCAGTCGTGAAGTGGTTGGCCATACAAGCTCACAGAACGGGACCGCTGAATGCTGAAGCGCGTAGCGCACAAGATCAGTTCGTCGGGAGCTTCATGAAATGGGTTTCCATGGCCGAGCAGCCACATCACCATGCGCAATGCCAAGCGTCGGCTGGAGTGGTGTAAAGCTCGCCGCCATTGGACTTTCATGGTTCGAGCAAGGCCCCTTAGTTCCAGTGAAGGGAAACAACGCTACAGCATACAATTACATTCTAGACAATTCTGTGCTTCCAACTGTGGCAACAGTTTGGGGGAGGCCCTTTCCTGTTTCAGCATGACAATGCCCCCGGGCACAAAGCGAGGTCCATACAGAAATGGTTTGTTGAGATCGGTTTGAAAGAACTTGACTGGCCTGCACAGAGCCCTGACCTCAACCCAATCGAACACCTTTGGGATGAATTGGAACGCCGACTGCGAGCCAGGCCTAATCGCCCAAAATCAGTGCACAACCTCACTAATGCTCGTGGCTGAATGGAAGCATGTCCCCACAGCAATGTTCCAACATCTAGTGGAAAGCCTTCCCAGAAGAGTGGAGGCTGTTATAGCAGCAAATGGGGGGACCAACTCCATATTAATACCCATGATTTTGGAATGAGATGTTTGACCAGCAGGTGTCCACATACTTTTGGTCATGTAGTGTAAAAAGGGAATGTCAGCTCACTGTTTTTCTCCTCTCAAACTTAATATTTTAATAAAGCTTTTGTGATTAAGATTTATTTCCAAGCTGTCTCACCAGCCAAACACTTTATGGACGGTCTTACTTGATTACATTGGGCAGGACAAAAAGAAAACAGCCTTCATTGAGAGGAGGCTATGCTTGGTATTTAATAAAATACAACGAAATGGGGAAAAACATGTGTTTTATGTTTCTAAATATGAAGTATACAGGCACCAAATCACATCTTGTTCCATGCGCATATGGGCAATGTGCTTCACGGCTGGATAGGCTTCGTTTCCTCTGTTAAAATGTATGTCATAACCAACTGCATTACCGCTAAAACCAGCTTTTGTTTGGTCTTAAATATCCCTACCAGCGCTGCCTGAAATTAGCACTGTAGATCATGTTAAGGACACACCTCATATTTCCACCCCTCCCATCTGAGCTCAAGCGTACTGATGTTAGACAGGTAAATTGCCGAACCTGGCGTTAAGGATGGATAATGCCAGTGGCCAGTTTTCACATGACGAAATTGCAAACTAACGTACGTTTGACACTAGCGCCGCCTTAACGCCAGCCAGAAATAGAGCCTTACATGTTCTATACAAAGGCATTAGTTTAAGTACTTCAGTCAATGGGAAGCTGTTTGTCAATTACAGTACATTTCAAAATGTGTTTGGGCTGTCTTAATACAATGTGTGCTGGAGTGTTTTATTTTAGTAGCTTAGTGCCATGTAAATTAAGTTTATTTCAATGTAATATGCGACAAACGACACATGACCTTAGATTGGTTTGCAACAAATTGTTTAATAATGCTACTGCAGAAAACACATTTATAGTGTGTTATAATCTTACTGGGAAACAGTTTTGTTAAAAAAAAGCAGAAGTTGCAAGACTACATTTACATTTAAGTCATTTAGCAGACACTGACTTACAGTAGTGAGTGCATACATTTTCCCCATACTAGTCACCCGAGAGAATCGAACCCACAACCGTTGCAAGTGCCATGCTCTACCAACTGAGCTATACAGGACTGAACAGACTACAACAACTGTTATTACCTTTGGGTATTACAACAGTCACATTCAGGAGAGGGCAACTCGGCTGTTGACACAACTTTGTCACAAAATGTCTGAAAACATTATCACCTAAATGTCCGATGAACGTCTTGTCACAACTAAGTTAAAAACCACAGCAACCAAGAAAAAAACAATTTAAACAATAAACACGAGGAGAAAATCATATGACCGAAGTTAATTCTGTAAATAGAAAACCAGCTGTTTGGTCCATGATTTTAGATTAGCAGTAATAAACAGAAGAAATAACCACATTTAAAAATAGACATTTCATCCCAAAGTGTCAAAGCATCTACACTGCCTGACAGCTGTGACTTATAAGAATAAGTTATGAGTGCGATTCATTGGGATGACAGTGTATTCAGTAGATTTTCAGCACATGGCCTTACTTTGGGCCCCATTTACAGTGCGGTATAGGCCTACAAATCCAGCACTTGCAATTTCAAGTATTAGTATCAAATACAATTTCCTCCTCCAATAGTATTATGTGACTGTCCACTCTTGGAAAGTAGGTGTCATCATGAAAATGTTGTTTTAGTATTGGGAAGAAAGTATTCACTACTTTTTGTTTATCAAATACATTGATATAAACAGAACATTTATTTTTCTTTAAATACAAAAAGGTAATAGCTGTATTCATAGTAATAAAATATCAAGGACAGGAGTGTTTTACGGATTGGAAACAGTTGGAAACGGTTAGATAATACACATTTGTTGGTACTTGATGGGGCTTTGGATAGATAGCCCTACTATATGTCATGCTCTCCTTATCAGGTAATGTAATGTGGCCTCTGGGCCAGTGAGGGGCAGTAGAGTGCTAATCCTGGTCTGGGGAGGTCTGTTTCAGGCTCTGGTCTAGCAGGTCCTCTCATGATCACTGCTCTCAGACAGGTTGTTGCTGGGGGTTTCTTGGGCACTGGCATGGGCGGCTGAAGACAACACCTCCTCAAAACTCCCTCCACCTCCTTGGCTTCCTACCTTGGTCTGCTCCAAATCCAAAAACAAACACAGAAATGCACACAAACAAACCAACATTTTAAAATAGGCTATTGTCGAGAATCCATTTGAACTTTCAACAGGGTTGTTAGAACACCAGAGATTACGACATCAGGCTCAAATGCTCACATTCACGGTGTAGCAATTGTTCTCCTGAGAGTAGTGTTTAACCTCAATTAGCTGAGCTGTAAAAATAGCCAAAAGTTTTCCTGAGCTAAAGGAAGTGAAGCTTTAAAAGAAAGGAGTTAACAAGAAAGACCTCCATAATGCTTACTCCCTTATGTTGACTTTACTTAGGCCGGGAATCAATCCGATTGTGCTTTGTCCGCAATGGCGCCATTTAAAGATAAATTCAGATTGAGGCGAGATATGCAGCATTTACCATGAATGTGTCCTCAGCAAACCCGGGAACATTGCCTTTAATACGCGCATTGTGGACAAAGCACGCTCGGATTGAATCCCTAGGCTTACTTCAACATTATGTAAATCTCTCTCATAGCTCTGTGTCATTGCTCTGACGTGTTGTGTTTCACATTACCTTTATGTTGGAAACGGTGCTTTCAACCTTCTCCTCGAAGGACTTGAAACTGGGCGAGTTCCTAATGGGATGAAAGTCAGTTCAGTTTCACACAATACCATTACTTTAGTATATAACACTTATCTTTATATCTATCTGAGCCACCTGGATTTTTAAATTATTATTATTTGTACCCCTTTTTCTCCCCAATTTCATGAGATCCAATTGGTAGTTAGTCTTGTCCCATCGCTGCACCTACCGTACGGACTCGGGAGAGGCGAAGGTCGAGAGCCATGCGTCCTCCGAAACACGACCCTGCCAAGCCGCACTGCTTCTTGACACACTGCCGCACCAATGTGTCGGAGGAAACACCGTATAACTGGCGACCTTGTCAGCGTGCATGCGCCCAGCCCGCCCAGGAGTCGCTAGAGCGCAATGGGACAAGGACATCCCAGCCGGCCAAACCCTCCCCTAACCCGGACGACGCTGGGCCAATTGTGCATCGCCTCATGGGTCTCCCGGTCGCAGCCGGCTGCGACACAGCCCAGGATCGAACCCGGATCTGTAGTGACGCCTCAAGCACTGCAGTGCCTTAGACCGCTGCGCCACTCGGGAGGCCTGTCTGTACCTGTATTTTTGTGTACACCTAATAAAGCTGCCTGTTTATTTATTTATTTTACCTTTATTTAACTAGGCAAGTCAGTTAAGAACAAATTCTTATTTACAATGACGGCCTACACCGGCCAAACCCGGACGACGCTGGGCCAATTGTGCGCCGCCCTATGGGAATCCCAATCACGGCCGGTTGTGATACAGCCTGGAATCGAACCAGGGGATCTGTAGTGATGCCTCAAGCACTGAGATGAAGTGCCTTAGACCGCTGCGCCACTCGGGAGACCTGCCTGTATTTACAGTGCTCTGTTAAAGCTGCCTGTATTTACAGTGCTCTGTTAACAAAACACTGAGAAGTCCTGTATGCTCAGTGTTATAGAAAGGTCACTTTTTCTAGTATTACGATTCCACACGTTTATCTTTTGATAAACAGGTCAGATAGCTAGAAATGTATTCATCTTGTCCTGATGATTGCTGCCGGATATGCCAATGTTACAATGCAAGCCTGTTTCACCTATAAATTCTGAACCAATACCAATTCTCCTCACAATGCTTACAAACACTCAGCCTGAAGACAACAAGAATGGGTGGGTGGCTAAGGATGGGGATCTAGTGGAGGATGAACTATCACTACACACAAAGTAGGCTACACACAATTACCTCATAACAGGCATGCTCATTGAGTGGCGGATAGAGTAGCTGTCCCAGGTAAGAGAGGAGTTAAATCATTAACATGGATTTACAGAAAGCAGAAATCACAGAGCACACACGCATCCACACGTACAGGCTCAGCAAGCACTCCCTCTAGTCTACAGTAATTCAGCAGGGCAACTTTCTAGCCATTTCTATAATGTAGATTTACCCATCATCTGATTGCCTAAAAAAAAAAAATATATATATATTTTAGAGGAATCTAATGGCTTATACTGTAATATATATTTTCTTAGACAACTTCATCATGCCGTATCATCTAAGTGATGACTCATTAATATTTCTATGACTAACAACTTCTACAGAGCTACATCTACACAAGGTACAAAAGAGAAAGAAAAATTATCTACAATGTAACTATACTGAACTACCCACAAGTAAAACATGCTATGGTCAACAGCAGTCAAAGTCATGCATGCCTACTGGTCAGTTTGCTACAGATCTGAGGAGTTCACTATAAGGTATATACATCCACTGTAGGTTATAATGTGACTGCACTGGAACTAACGGTCTGTCTGACTAATCAAATCAGGTGATTCCTGGAATCGATCCCATTCAGTTGGTAGTCATCTTCTTACCATTATATCTTAATTACTCTCATATTTACGTAAGCAATGGCCTTTGTTCGTCTTCTGACTAGTTTCAGTGCAGTCACTGCAAACACGTATATCAGACTCTAAATCAGAAGTAGAATACTACTGACAACACTAAAACACAATATCTTACCCAAGTGAATTTGATCTTTTGATGCATAGAAAGAGATGAAGAAACAAACATTTTAAGACATTTATCCTGACAGTATCCAGTGTCCTACCAATACTTTACATTAGGCTACTTCATTTCTGAATCACGGCAAGAGTTTAATTAAACTTCTATTCAAGAAAAGCCAAATTCAAAGATCCAGTGCACACACACAGTTAACCAATCAATCTGTCACACCCTGATCGGTTTCACCTGTCTTTGTGCTTTTCTCCACCCCCCTCCAGGTGTCGCCCATTATCCCCTGTGCATTTATACCTGTGTCCTCTGTTTGTCTGTTGCCAGTTCGTCTTGTCAGGTCTTACTTGTTTCTCAAGTGTTTATGTCCTAGTTTCCCCGGTTCTGACCATTCTGCCTGCTGTCCTGTACCTGCCTGACTCTGACCTGATTACGAACCTCTGCCTGTCCTCGACTTGCCCTTTGCCTGCCCCGTGTTCTAATAAATTATTATTGAGAACTGTACTATCCGTCTCCTGTGTCTGCATCTGGGTCATATCCTGAGTCGTGATACAATCATCAAAGCTCTGGTGATCATGCCATATACTGTATCCTTACAGTACTGTATACACTATGCATTAGAATGCAAATGTTTGGGTTGCAACTATTTAGAACAACCTATAGTCTGTAGTGCAAGGGAGTCACCCAAGTAAACATCACCCCAGGCAACATACTGTACCTTGCTCTCCATGGTTCCTCATAGCTAAATATTTGGTTTAGCATATTTCAAACCCAATGCAAGTCAGGGCACACCTTTTTTACATTTCACTGGGCAACATAGTGAACAGGGTTTATGAAAAGAACGTGTTGTACTGTATTTTCAATTTACACGAAAGGTCCACACAGGGACACACAGGGACAAACTCATTTGCATGCACACACACATGCACACTAGGGGGCATACCTTCTGGGATACATTAACTCAAGGCCAAACATGCTGGAATACATAAAGGAATGTCTATTTGTCTCTCTGGATTATTATTCAACATGATTTTATACATAACAATGGTTGGTTAATACACTATTAAAAACCTGCGGTGGTGAGTATTTTGTTATTATCATGCAATAATTACGACGACGTTAAAAGAACAAAACAAAGACACCCCTACAACACACACTAAACGACATGGACAGGGATAACAGTAAATCCCAGTTTTTCTTTGTCATGGCTAGTCTGAGTATTGCATTACCAGTGACACCAGGGCCAGCTGTCTATGATATGATAGCTCCCCTGTGGCTGAGTGTGTCCCTGCAAAGCTACCATACTGGCCAGCAATGGATCTCCATTGTGTTACCCTGCACAGTCAGGGTAACACAATTCAGACCCCCCCCCCCCCCCCCCCCCCCCCCACTCCCCACTCCCCACTCAGGCCTGCATCCAATCTGGCCTGTAGAAAGCTGCTTACTCTGGGCTTATGCAACACAAACATGCCCCCTGTAACAGACTGTCTGGGTCAACCCTAGCAACAGTCAGGATTGGGCACACGACAGACTGGCTGCATAGAATTGAGATGAGGGAGGAGCATGGTCATTCTGACTGGAGGCCCCCTGTATTCTGTCTCAATAGCTGTAGGCTAAAATATGTAGTTGTGGCATAAGGCTTCAGTTGATTGGATATTAAATATTTTGATGTTGTTGTGTGGTTGCTATAGGCACCAGAGACACCGTACCTCATATCCCCAAACTTCCTGCTGATGGCTGTTCCCAATGTGGTGAAAGCTGCTGACGTCTTCTGCCCTGCTGTGCTCAACGTCTCCGACGTCTTTTTGTACCTGGCCAAATGATAAGACAAGACAGTGATTATCAAACCAGACACAGGACAGGATCCCACAGGACAGGATACCACAGAAAATAATACCACAGGACAGGATACCACAGGAAAGGATACCACAGGCCAGCCACTCCTGTTCTCTTCCTGTCCCATGTCCAGAGCACTGTTCACTCCACACACACAGATTAGTTTCATAGTCAGAGTCGGAGCCAGGTTGTAACTGATACTCCAGCTCAGTATCACAATCAGCCAGGGATTCATACATCTATAAAAACATGATGAGGGGAGCATGGCACAGATAACAAAGACTCAGTGTTTTATCTCCTATTGATGCTGCAGAATCTCTGGGAAACAGAGGAGAGCATCGCTTTGATTATTTGTACAGCTTATACCACTGTTAGGGCGCTGGCCTACAAAGGGAAGCCATTGATTTTCCTCTTTGTTTTCTAGTTCTAAAAGCCTGCTAGTCTACAGCCTGCCTGGCTTCCAACCTCTCAGATCCTCATCCCCTAGAGCCTGATTACCGCTTAGTGCATTAGACACAGACTGCATGGAAACCTAAGAAACTCCTGTAGTTCCATGAGCACCAGCCCATGCCATCACCTTATCGGATTTAAGTCCTGCTATTTCAAGACAAAGAGCTAACTGCATTTGTGAGATGCATTAAGTGCAATGCGTTAATCTGGCTAACGCTTTGCTGTGGGAGGTAATTATGAGAAAAATGTGGTCCTCCAGCTCACTTAGTACTTAGTCTAATTAGTGTGGCGCCTGGAGTGAGAAAGACCTGAGAGAGAGAGAGAGAGAGAGAGAGAGAGAGTGAGAGTGAGAGAGCGAGAGAGAATAGAGAAAATAAAAGAAAAGAGAGAAGAAGCCTGAGAGAGAAAGATAAATATTGTCACCTAACATCAACATCAACTGACGCCAACAACAAACCACACTAACAATAGATACAGCTCAGCCGTTATGATGTTGTTGTTGTTGAGCTCCTTTACACTTGGTCCTGTTGCCTTTGTTTTGCATTGGTGTTGAGACTGGAGATTGAGGAGGTGTGTTGTGGCATTTACACAGTGGAGGTCCATTCCTCTCCTCTCCCTCCAGCCAATGATCCCTCAGCACCACCAGATCTGCTTGGCCCTAGCGGTTTGCAGTTCCCCTTCACCATGGTAATGGTGATTTGAGAGGGGTGCTCTGCCTATTTGAGCGCCTAGTTAAAGCGTGACTCTGGTAACTGAATAACCAGGGACATACAAGGCTACAATGGAGACACAGGCAGAGATGGAGGACTGAAATTTAGGCCTACGGTATAGCTGTTCACTGTAAATGGCTATATATACAGTACTGACCTATATGAGCTCTGCAAAACAAATCAGCATTCCCCTTAATATATAATTCAGGGTATTTCCCAGTCAGAACTGTTCCTCTAGCCTGATACACATTATTTTTTATCAGAGTATAAAAGAGAGAGAGAGCCTGAAGCTGCTGTTTGTTTTGACTGGCTGCTCCAGTGGACAGTCAGGCAGCACTGTGCTGCTTTAGATGTCACAGCACTAATAGGCTGCTTGCTCCCTGTCATTGTCTGCCTCAATGAGCCTGAACAGACCGGATCCATACATTCATCACTCTGTGATGCCCATAAAGGCAATCTCTGGTGACAGGAGCAAAACATCTTGAGGGCGTGAGTGTTATTTCTCCCTTTCCTTCCCAAATGCCAAACTTATGCACTTTCTCTGAGACAGCCTTTGAATGGCAACAATAGGAGTCTAGTTTAGATTCCCCTTCCCCCTGGCTCCATGCACATCGGCATGTAACAACATATTTGATACATACCACTCAAGCGTAATACACACACTGAACTATGTTGGGTACTTACGCGGTGGAAGTCTGCATGTCATACCAGCTCCTGTTGAAGTTCTGTTTGAGCTCACTGAGTGGTGTTATACCCAGTTTGGCTTTGAGCTCTGAGTGAAGATTCTCTTTGGAGGCCAACACTTGCCTCAGGGTGGAGATTTCTTCCTCTAACTAGAGGGATAAACAGAGAAAGAGAGAAAAGAAAGAGCGAGAACTAAAGACATAAGAGAAAATGAGTAAGAGAGTGATGCAAATTTCCCTTTGGGCTTAAGTCTCCATGTGTTACCTTATTTGCTGTATAGAGAATTCATTTTGGAATTTAGGAATATTTCTTAGATGTAGCCTAATATGCTACAAATGGCTACAAAAGGTACTTACAGTTACAGACGTGTTGGTAATAGAACTATAATAATAATAATAATAATAATAATAATATAGTGATAAACTGAGGGAACTGAAGTACAGAACACTGGCTCTTCCTTATAACACAGTATAGTGTATTTGGCCTGAGGTCAACACCAGAGGAAACAACTGTAAACCCAAATGATGCTGAATCATAATATGCAAAAGAGCTCTGCCGATAGAGCTGCCAAGATTTACATAACTCACAATGCCCTCTACTTCCGCTCCTATTTTCCAGTTAATATCTCTCTCCCATGGTCCAACACAGTTTGCCTATGTGAGATAGATCAGTGTACCAACTTCTTAACCATCTCTCACCTCTATGGATGAACAGAATGTATCTATCTCCAAGATAGAGCTTTCCTGAATCCAACTCCATCAACATACCAAGCTAAACATTGAAAAACAGAGCAGTAAAAAGTGCTGACGAGAGGGACTACCTTAGTGAGTTCACTCAATATTTCCTCCCTCTCCTCATCGGTCACAGTGTTTTGGAGGTCCACTTCTGACACCATTTCTTCATCTACTTCTGTTAAAGGCTCTGGGTCCAGCAGACCTGAGGAGAGATGGATGATTAAACACTAAATAAAGCCCAAAAGTTAGGACACTTCAGACTTACATACACTGAATGTACAAAACATTTTCCTAATATTGAGTTGCACCCTCTTTTGCCCTCAGAAAAGCCTAAATTCATTGGGGCATGGTGTCGAAAGCATTCCACAGGGATGCTGGCCCATGTTGACTCCAATGCTTCCCACAGTTGTGTCATGTTGGCTGGGTGTCGTTTGGGTGGTGGACCATTCTTGATACACACGGGAAACTGTTGAGTGTGAAAAACCCAGCAGCTTTGCAGTTCTTGACACATTCAAACCGGTATGCCTGGCACCTACTACCATACCCCGTTCAAAGGCACTTAAATCTTTTGTCTTGCCCATTCACCCTCTGAATGGCGCATACACAATCCATGTCTCAATTGTCTCAAGGCTTACAAATCCTTCTTTAACCGGTCTCCTCCCCTCCATTGACACTGATTGAAGTGTATTTAACAAGTGACATCAATAAGGGATCAAAGCTTTCACCTGGAATCACCTGGTCAGTCTATGTCATGGAAAGAGGAGGCGTTCCTAATGTTTTGTACACTCTGTGTATAGTGGAGAGACAATCACATAAAGTATGTTTTTGCAAATAACAAATAAACTCAAGCACCCTGCGGTCAAATGGTCTAACTCGAAGAGATGATCAGGCTACAGCAAGGCAGACCCACCCATCTGTTGCCATAGTAACATGGCCACAGTACAGCCAGAATTAACCTGAATACCACCCTCCATCACCGTGACAATGGCAATATTCCCAGCATGACCTCACCATACGTTTAACAACCACCTTTAGAGTCACTGACTGTAATTATCTACATTAGAGCTTCCATTTCCAATCCTAGGTTTATTTTTAGACATGTCAAGTTAAGATATGTTCTGGATAGTCTAGAGAAAAGTCATGCTTATCCCCTTCCATAAGGCCACCAGTTATCTATTAGAGTAACTGTCCAGTATGTTGTTTCTTATCTATCTCTACTAAAAAGGTCAATAGTTCTAACTAACATGAATCAATGTGTAAATAGGAGCACAAATCTATTGCTTGTTGTTTATTTCAATGGTTTCTGGAACCTAATAGTGATCTAACTGCATGACAATATGTGTGCGTTTGCGTGCATGCGTGTGTTTCCAGTTACAATAAAAGCTAAACCAGACAAACAACTTCCTGGTATGTGAAGCACTGAGTGTTTGATCAATATCTGCAGCCCTGCTCAGAAATGTCTGATGCACAGACGGATGAAGTAATGGCCAAAGCCCCGGCATGGTGTACCCTCAGCAGATTAGATCAGCCATTAATAAAGTGAATCTGAACTCAAATTGGGAGTATAGCTTTACCCAATTTCGACCTAATTTTGTGCAACTTCAATGTCTGTCCCTACAACCATTACTCTCTTATCACTGCATAATATAAGTACAGTTAAAAGACCCTGGCTTTAAATTCTATACTAGGCTACAGTAATACACCTGGGAATGTAAACAGAATAGAAATCCCAAGGACTTAGGGTGAAAGGCTCTGAGCTTTTGATACTATTTCAATCACCAGCAACATAAAGCCAGGACATAATAACATATTATAAACTGGGTGGTTCGAGCACTGAATGCTGATTGGCTGACAGCCGTGGTATATTAGACCATATACCATGGGTATTACAAAACATTTATTTTTACTGTTCTAATTACATGTGTAACCAGTTTATAATAGCAATAAGGCACCTCTGGGGTTTGTGGTATATGGCCAATATACCACGGCTAAGGGCTGTATCCAGGCACTCCGCGTTGCGTCGTGCATAAGAACAGTACGGGTATATTTGCCATATACCACACCCCCTCGGGCCTTATTTCTTAAATATAACATGACATCTAAACCTAAGAGATGTTATTGAGCAGCGACCAGTGCCCTAAGATGACCGTAGCTAGGGGATGTTTTTGTCCAGACAAAGAGGATCTTTGAGGCCTCATCAGCAGATGATTGGAGTGGCGTGGCACAGAGCTTGTGATGCAGTTTTGCCACATAACCCAATCACTTTCTCATCAGAAGCCTTTGGAGCGGATCCCTTTGCTTGGAGCCACACTATGTACACAGTATACATTCTAGTACTCTTCTACTGCATCACTCTCTTCTCTATTGTCATCTTGCCTGGCCTCAGTGCCTCTAATAGTATATGTATTTAAGAGTATAACAACCAGTCTCTCTCCCCATAGCATTCTCTTGGTTATTTGATCATACAAAATATATATATAATAATAATAACCTGCACTTGTCTTTTCCTACTAGCACTGACTTTGCTGATCAATACTTTGTGGAGGAGAAATGTACTTTCTACGACTGTGATATGTTATTGTCTCACCTGGCTATCTTAAGATGAATGCACTAATTGCAAATCGCTCTGGATAAGAGCGTCTGCTAAATGACTCAAATGTAAAATGTTTGATTTCTCTACGACTTTATCCTATTTCTCTAGAATGGGACAATTTCAGTTTGAACAACTGTTTCTATGTTTCACTGTGATGGGGTAAGAGTACGTTGCTTAGCAACTTCCCATGCAGACAAGCAAACCTAATCATTATCATTGATTGAATCCTTTTGTTGTCCTTAAGACACTTAAATCCTTCAACACAGGGCTGACTCATTTTAAATCCGCAAACAATCCCTGTCTTTACCTTAGAGGACCATAGACAGTATCCACACACTGGTACAAAAGTTATGTTGTTTGTGTTGCCAATGTGAGGTTCCATCCATCAGCATTGTTCCCGGGGCCCTGAAAGATGTCCCTACCCTAGATACATTAACATTGGCTCAGGTTCATTAAAAAATCTATATGGTAATCAATATCAAAGAGCATTAACAGGAAATCATGCACGCTTGATTAAGAGTGGGTTGATGGGCTCGTGACTTGCCTCTTGATTTCATGGCAACCTGTCACCTGAACATCACATTACTGGTGCACTACATGACTCTAAACCTCACCCCGGCCCTGCCCCCTCCCACGCCGCAGTCTGATTCAATTGACCATCACATACATGGATGAGGGAGAGAGAGAGAGAGACTCTGGCCAAGGAGTAAACACAGAACCACGTCACAATCAGTACGGGTTCAGCAACACTACATGAACTCTTAAAGGACATCTGTCCCTGTTTTCTCTCTCTGGTTTGGGAATCTATTTCAGAGCTCTGCAGCCCCATCCAAAACCGGCATTGTCACATTCCCAGTCCGGGTCAGCATGTTTGGGTTGTCTGAGGCGTTTGCCGAGTCTCGCCCACAACGTTGTCCTGAAAGTAGGAGCCCCGCAGCTCAGTGACTGTGGTGTGACAACTCATCCTCACCCAACTCACACTCATCATATTCAGCAGCACAGGGGCCAGAGCTGGAGAAATACACTCTCTCTTTTTCACATGCTAGGTTCTCAAAGGCATCATGGTTTTACTCTACAACCCTTATCCACAGACACTGTAGTTAGCATTGACAGCTAGCCTTGTGTTGTTCACACGAAATCAGTCCTCTGCCTGGAGACCTGAGATTAACCTAATCAATTACAACTGCGACCTGGCCAAGATAAAGCAAAGCAGTGCGATAAAAAACAACAACACAGAGTTACATATGGGGTAAAACAAAACATGAAGTCAAAAATACAACAGAAAATATATATACAGTGTGTGCAAATGTAGCAAGTTATGGAGGTAAGGCAATAAATAGGCCATAGTGCAAAATAATTACAATTAGTATTAACACTGGAGTGATAGATGTGTAGAAGATGATGTGCAAATAGAGATACTGGGGTGCAAATGAGCAAAATAAATAACAATATGGGGATGAGGTAGTTGGGTGGGCTAATTACAGATGGGCTGTGTACAGGTGCAGTGATCGGTAAGCTGCTCTGACAACTGATGCTTAAAGTTAGTGAGGGAGATAAGAGTCTCCAGCTTCAGAGATTTTTGCAGTTCGTTCCAGTCATTAGCAGCAGAGAACTGGAAGGAGTGGCGGCCAAAGGAGGTGTTGGCTTTGGGGGATGACCAGTGAGATATACCTGCTGGAGCGCATACTACGAGTTGACTCATGCAGTAAAATGACCTGCATTCTGTAATGACTGAGGAAACAAATCCTGTAAGCTTAACGAAGTGTGTCAGACTCAGCAGACAGCAAACACAACTGGAAATGTTACTGGAAATTATCCCCAGTCCCCTTACCAATAATGAGATCCCTCATAACCATGGTAAAAAAATTTTATCATTTAGTAAATAAACATATTAAGTTCTCTGGAAATTGGTTCCCATTTTTGCTTCCATTTTAGGCCGTCATCTTGGCCTGTTACATCATTTCTGGCCTGGCTGTAGTAATCAGTGGGATTTTCCCCTGGGATTATCCAACTAGATTTACCAAAGTCCTTCACCTCAGCCACAGCAGAATTAAGCAGTGCGATAGCTAGCTAAATCAAAGATACCATTTCAGATAGTCCTTTGACTGCAACTTCATCTAATGGTTGCTCTCAAACTCATCAGGTGAATTAACACTGTCAGGGGTGTTTTTATACAATTGGTGGAGGGGCCAAAGTGTGGTGAAAGTGACTGTGGTGTGACAACTCATCCTCACCCAACTCACACTCATCATATTCAGCAGCACAGGGGCCAGAGCTGGAGAAATACACTCTCTTTTTCACATGCTAGGTTCTCAAAGGCATCATGGTTTTACTCTACAACCCAGGGGCCAAAGTGTGGTGAAAGTGAGTGCAGTCATTCATTCATTCACAATAAAGAGACAGATTTAAAACATGAATCAGGGATACTGCATTCCTCCACATCACTTGAACATTTCTGTGAAGGGCAGTCAGGTAAACAGAGAAGCAGCATACCTGTCCTGAGATGTCCTTGTCCTCTCTCTTCATTTGGTAGCAGAAACAAGGGGGAAAGATTATATTCCTTTAATGAAATTAGTAATAATTGATAAGATAGATAGGCCTATGCTACTTTGTCAAGGGAGGTCACATGTTCTAAACATATAGTCTATGGTTAAAACATGTTCATACCCAGAGAAGAAATGCTGTAAAACAAATGCCCCAAAACATTTCTATCACATACACAGATGAAAAAATGTTTTAAATCATTGGTGTTTCATGCTTTGCCTGATGAAGTTGACCCTGGTTAGGCAATTCATTTACAGAGGTTCTATGCGTACAGGGAACATTTACTAATTGGAAACACCACAAGACCTAAAACATTCAGCTCAAACACAGCATGCAACTGACTGCAAGAGAACTGGAGTATTCTAAAATGGGAGTCTATCTATCTATGGGGCCAGGAAACATATCAAGAAGACATTGGCCTATTTTCTGGTTCAATTGTGCTGCATCAAGACAAATTAATGGATATAAATCCAATCCATTCTATTTATTGGCACATGCTATTACAATCTTGAAAGTATAATACATATGCAATTGATGCTGCAGATGTTTACTGTTCCAATGTGGGCCCAAAATACTGCAACTACTGTAATAACAGGGGAAGTAGTCTAGTCTACAGATCAAAGGCCTTTCACCTTCAGGTTGCAGATGCACCTAAAACCCACTGGGCATAACCCACTCATCTGAATATATGAGGTCTTACCCCATTCCCCTGCACCATCGCTCAGTACACTAGAGTCGCTCAGTACACTAGAGTACAGCTCTGATGATGATGCATTTGATGTCCATTAGGCAATGAATGGGGTGAAATACAAAATAGTAAGTTACACACAAACAAGGAATGCACACACACAGGCACACACACGATTGGTGTATACTGTAGGTTACAGTGTCCATTCAGGCTGACTGTAACCTGATAACCTGAGGTTGATAAAAAAAATGCCTATACTTTGTTTGAACCAGAAAGTTGATTATAATAGCCAGTATTCAACTGATAATCCAGTGTGCACAAGTTAAAGACAGCCATGTTGCTATTTGGATAATAGGGCCAACTACAAAGAAAGGCTCTCCAAAGCAGAATATCTATGGTCACAAGGTTTCAATTATTTGGTCAGATGGCCACGGTGGGAAGGGAAAATAGGTGGCCTTGAGCCAGTCATGGTTTGCAAAAATGTATTTGAACCTAACAGAGGGACAGAGCAATATTACATCCACATGAACTTGATATTTTGTTACCATGTTGCAATGATGTTGCACATAGAGCTCAACAGCTTGTAGTCCTAAAACCCAGAAATATGTTACCTCTGGTTCATTCAGCCATTTCTATGGAGAAAATGAATGGGGAAAGAATAGGGTTTTGGGATTAACGCTGAAAATAAGGTCTGAGGTTAACATAGGCTTAGATCTTATACGTTTTGTTCTATGACATAAAAATATCAGTCTGTTAAAATGATTTTTATGAATTATGAAGCCTTTATGTGCTTTATTAAATTCCATAAATGCTTCAAAATTCTAAAAGTGACATTAGCTGATGAAGATTATCTCATAGAACAAAACGTATAAGATCTCCTAAGCCTGTGTTTACCACAGACCTTATTTTAGGCGTTTATCCAAAAACATTACAAAAACACCATTCATTTTCCCATAGGCTTTGTCCAACGAACCATGGCAGAGTTTAGTGCCTACAAAACGACGCCATTACTAACGCTCTCTATTGGACAAAAATGGGAAGTTAACCACGTGCTACATTAAGTAGATAACTGGTCGAAAATGGCTACTCTATTGATACACTTTTTGTCCTTTGAGGCAGAATTTATTAAAAGTTGACGCATAATTTCACCTATCAAGACTATCATCCCATATTAAAGCTAAACTGCTTAATAAGGTTATTTATATTTGTATTAAGGTTAAGGCTATGAATTCAGTAACAATAGTTTTCGTTAATCTCTATGCTAATTGTAAGTAACAAATAGGCGAAATACACAATTGAATAAATGCAACAACAAAAATCCACAATGTGCAACATATTATTATATATTTTTCGAGAGTTTGAACGCTCACTCACCCTGTTGTCTGGTCTCCATTCGAAACAGTCTGATACAGTTGGCTACTTTAAGTAAATATTAATTGTTCTCTGAAACAACGCTTTGGACGTAGACACAGCAGCTCACTGCTGCACTGTCAGATGCCAATGTTTACACTAGCTCCTTCACTGTGAATTACGGCACCGCCTCCATGGGCGGGGCGTCCAACATACACCAATGGCGGTGTGCTCAAATCCTCAAACAATGTTGTGATGACTGATGATGCCAAATATGCAATATGTTGAACTAAATATATATTTTGAAAACGAAAATGTTATCTTAAAATACTGTCAGTTTCATGTACACTTAAATACATTATTGCCCAATGTTTCTGGTAGAGTGAAAGTGTTACGTTTATAATGTATCTACTTATTTAGGCCAGTTGGGTAGTTTCATCACAGAAAGCAACGACGCCACCTGCTGATACATTGTGATTCTAGGCTTTGAGAATATCTGACCAATGTACACCCTCATCTGTCAGAGCAGGGTAAATACATCTCTTGTAGTAAATTTGTTACATGAGATGATACACATGCATTTTGATTTAACAGATTCAACACTTACTCCGCCATTTCCTGGTTGCTGAAATTCTAATAGTTCGCCTAATTTCAGTTTATGTGACAAAACATGCAAGTGTTGAGAATCATTGTACCATCTAAACCGCTGTGAAATATATTTTCAATAACCAAAAATATTGTATTGTATTGTATTTGCTTACAATTATGGCCAGGTAAATATTTATCAGTAGACATTTTATTTATAAGGTTTAGATAGCTGGCTAGACTAACTTACCTAGCAATCTATAAAATGTTAGCTGACATGGGCTAATTCAGTAACTGTCAGTGACAGACATAACTGCTGATGCACTACCAAATTTTGAAATTGCAGGTTGTGTATTCTACTAGCTACACTATATGACCAAAAGTATCTGCTCGTCGAACATCTCATTCCAAAATCATGGGCATTAATATGGAGCTGGTCCCCCTTTTGCTGCTATAATAGCCTCCACTCTTCTGGGGAGGCTTTCTACTAGATGTTGGAACATTGCTGCGGAGACTTGCTTCCATTCAGCCAAAAGAGCATTAGTGAGGTCGGACACTGATTAGGCCAATTAATCCCAAAGCTGTTCAATGGGGTTGAGGTCAGGGCTCTGTGCAGGCCAGTCAAGTTCTTCCACACCGATCTCGACCAACCATTTCTATATGGACCTCACTTTGTGCACGGGGGCATTGCCATGCTGAAACAGGAAAGGGCCTTCCCCAAACTGTTGTCACAAAGTTGGAAGCATAGAATCGTCTAGAATGTCATTGGACGCTGTAGCATTAATATTTCCCTTCACTGGAACTAAGGGGCCTAGTCCAAACCATGAAAAATATCCCAGACCATTATTCCTCCTCCACCAAACTTTACAGTTGGCACTATTCATTCAGGCAGGTAGCGTTCTCCTGGCATCTGCCAAACCCAGATTTATCCTTCGGACTACCAGATGGTGAAGCGTGATTCATCACTCCAGAGAACGTGTTTACACTGCTCCAGAGTCCAATGGCAGTGAACTTTACGCCACTCCAGCCAACGTTTGGCATTGCGCATGGTGATCTTAGGCTTGTGTGTGGCTGCTTGGCCATGGAAACCTATTTCATGAAGCTCCTGACAAGCAGTTATTGTGCTGACGTTGCTTCCAGAGGCAGTCTGGAACTTGGTAGTGAGTGTTGCAACCGAGGACAGTCAATTTTTATGCGCTATGCACTTCAGCACTTGGTGGTCCCGTTCTTTGAGCTTGTGTGGCCTACCACTTCGTGACTGAGCCGTTGTTGCTCCTAGACACTTCCACTTCACAGTAACAGCACTTACAATTAGCAGGGCAGAAATTTGTTGGACAGTGGCATCCTATGACAGTGCCACGTTGAAAGTCACTGAGCTCTTCAGTAAGGCCATTCTACTGCCAATGTTTGTCTATGGAGATTGTATGGCTGTGTGCTCGATTTTATATACCTGTCAGCAACGGGTGTGGCTGAAATAGCCGAATCCACTAAATTGAAGCGGTGTCCACACACTTTTGTATATACTGTATAGTGTATCTACTAAGTTGAGACCCCGATTTACTTCCAAAACAAACAAAAAAGCTGCTTATGCCGCTTATGCCTAGAAACAGCACTGAACACATCTACCTCAAAGCAGCAGCTGCTCTTTTTAGCTCTGATGTGATTTTGAAAGACCTTTGCATTCTAAAGCTGTAATCTTTCCATGAAAGTAATTTCAAACAGATTTGAAAGATGAAATGTTTCCATGTCTTATTAAAACACCATATGAAATTCTGTAATTCACTGGGAGTTTTAATATGGGTGTGCTTTATTTCATGTTGTACCAGGAATCAGTAGCTGAGCTCCTCTCTCTGCAGCTCTGCCAAGCCTTATCCTGTCTTAGCTCTGTCAACAGGATGTCTGTGTCAGCTAGTACAAAGACAGAGGAGCACGGCCCCACACCATGAGGAAACAGTCCCACAGACAGACATCAAGGCCACTTTACAGAGTGAAACAGGAGGCAGGATATTCAACTGACTGGATGGAATTTTCATTATGATAAACAATTATTCAGATCACATTGGTTTATCATTGTGGCATGAGGCCCTTGCATCGGGCGGAACAGCAACAAAAGCCTATATTACTACTGTATGTAATATTGCTAATGCATAACCACTAACTACAGGCAATTCTCATTAAATGTGTTATATATTTCATAGCTTTGTCAGCTCTGCTGAGCCTCTTGCTAAGGCCCTTTTAGGGCAGACACAGACAATGTGGGCTGTCTTCTTGAATTTGTTTGATATGGAGCGCTGTATATTTACACAGCTGTTCACAGCATTCTAATCACACACAATAAATCAGATGATCCCGATTGGAAGGAAGGAACCAGCTGGGAGCACACAGCATTCTGGTCAGACAAGCCTATTAGTGTTCAGAGCCTATCGGAGTCCACAGCCACAGTGCTTGGCTGTTTGAAGGCCCTGTTGTAACTACTTCCCCATCCCCAGGACTCCTCCTGACCTGTGGGTCCATAACCAGCTAGAAGTCATGACTCACTTTCTCAGTGGCCACCACAGCTGCAAGGTCCGCTGATCCCAGAGCTATGTACTGCTGAGTAAGCACTGGCCCCAGTTAGGTTACATGACGTTGGGGAGCTGTGGGTGCATCCCAAATGCCACCCTATTGGCTATATACTGTAGTGCACTATGGGCGCACTATAAAGGGAATAGAGTGCAATTTGGGACTTCTCCTGTGTCTGTCCACCCAGGGAAGATACCGAGTGGACAGGACAGATAACAAAACAGCTTGGCCCTGCTGGTGTGGTGTAGGCTATTCTCAGAGGGTGCAAGCACTAATGGAAATAAAGGGTGATAATGTTTCTGTAAAAACAACTTCTGAACAGGACATCCTTGTGGATGGAGGGAATGGGGTTGGGTCAGGGAGGGAAGGACCAGTGTTCTTTTAAAAACTATACATCACAGTGGGTAAGTGAAAAAACGTCTTTTTTGTTGAGCCATCAATTGGTTTACCTGGCTTAATAGTACAGGAAGAAGGTTGATTTTTGTATTATTATTTGTTCTTTATTATTTTCCTTTCGGGGGTAGATCAGCTTTAATATTGCTTTAAGATAGATTGTAGCTTCCATCAATGTAATTGTCTGCATCATTTCCAATCCCCTAAGGTTGATTTGTTGATTGTATTGCCTTTGACTTGATCCAATAAAAACAATAATTGTTTTTAAACAATAATTGTTCACAAAAAAAAGACATATGTTTTTGGCGTTTTAACCATCACTGTTTAATGACTCCACAATTCTATCTGATACAAACAGCTAAACATGAATGACATGAACTGTGAAGATAGTGGTGCAGCAGCATAGAAGAACCACAAACAAAAGTAGAATACAAAACTGTGCATTTGATTTTCATAAACCAACCAATACATGAAAAACGACTATCAGTGTTGTTGTAGCTTTAAACTACTTGATAATTGATATTTACTATGGGTAGATCAGGAGAAATTTACCATTTCAGTTGTGCAAGCTACAGAAGTTTTTCGAGCAGATATGAGATCATCTTTAAAGTCAGAAGTAAAATTTCACAGAGATCAAGCCTATATCAATGATCTTTGTAAAGGCACCAGTCATATTTTTATGGTAACCAGGCCACAATGGCACTAATAGGGGCTTCAGCCAGCCGATAAGCCCCTGGGCAAGTTCAGGCATCAGAGGTGGATCATCCACCTGCCCAGATGTCAATCCAATGTCAGGTTAAAATGTAACATGTATACATTAAAAGTGGCATCAAACAATGGCATCTTAATATATTATATCCAGGTGATGACTTGGTGAGAACAATGGTCAAAATCATACCTGGCGTCAGGTAAGACATATCTTTAAAACCATGTAAAAACAAAAACAAACAATTTGTGTGACAGGTTTTGATCATGTAGCACAGTGGGAGCTAAAGGGGCATGCAGGGAAAGACAGCAGTGGAGAATGTGAACAGAATGCTCCCTGAGAATAATTACAAAAGCCTAATAGAGTTCAAATTCTGTCAATGACCTTTGACATTGTGGTAACTGAAGTCCACACTGTAACTAGAGTGAAGTAGTGACCGAGTATTCATCCATCTCCATCATCATCATCATCATCATCATCATCATCATCATAATAATCGTCTGTGTTATTAATAACACAATAATAATCAATGCAGAGCTGAATGTCTGATAAATACAGTGCCCACAGTGAGAAGGTTGGGGATTTGGGGGGATAGGGTGGAGGGTGTTGGACAGGCTCAATGTTGCCAAGTTACATCCTTTTAAGATTCAGAAAATCCACCATTTCCCTGGCACAGCTCCAGGTCTATTGTGTGGCTTTCAAAAGGGTACTTACATCAAAGGCCACTTAAAAAAGTCTAAGAGATACTTGATTGTCAGCTGTGTTACAAACAATGACCGTTTTGTCTGTATTGATGTTGTGCACAAATTGACTTGGTGTTAGGATACACCAAGTTTAATTAACATTCCCTATTGTAATCAGTGTTTTATATTAAAATGGAGAATGGACTATAGTTAGTTATTAATGATATCAAGACACCAGGATTACAAGCCACACATTTGATGTGAACAAAAACCCCTGACATGACTAATATGAACTTCATGGACACATTCATATACAAATAGCATGTATGACACTTCAACTAGATTTAAATAATGGAAGACTATGGGAAAGTGATTGATGCAAGCCATCTAGTGAGTTTGAAACTGAGTTCATTAAATAGGCTCCTCATGTTAAATAACAAAACCATTACTTCTCTATCATATATGGTTCTTACGGTCTGTCTGTCCATTTGTCCGTCCTCCACAGATATCCATGTTTTAAACATGTTTTTAGATCTATTCTCACAGACAACGGGGGGCCAGTATGAAAATGTATGCACTCACTAACAGTAAGTCGCTCTGGATAAGAGCGTCTGCTAAATGACTAAAATGTAAAATGTAAAACATCTGATATTGACCATTGAAGGAGGCAGAAAATGTCTCCAATGTACAATACCAGTCAAAAGTTTGGACACACCTACTAATTCCAGGGTTTTTCTTTATTTTTACTATTTTCTACATTGTAGAATAATAGTGAAGACATCAAAACTATGAAATAACACATATGGAATCATGTAGTAACCAAAAAAGTGTTAACCAAATCAAAATATATTTGATATTTGATATTCTTCAAATAGCCACCCTTTGCCTTGATGACAGCTTTGCACACACTTGGCATTCTCTCAACCAGCTTAACCTGGAATGCTTTTCCAACAGTCTTGAAGGAATTCCCACATATGCTGAGCACTTGTTGGTTGCTTTTCCTTCTCTCTGCGGTCCGACTCATCCCAAACCATCTCAATTGGGTTGAGGTCGGGGGATTGTGGAGGCCAGGTCATCTGATGCATCACTCCATCATTCTCCTTCTTGGTAAAATAGCCCTTACACAGCCTGGAGGTGTGTTGGATCATTGTCCTGTTGAAAAACAAATGATAGTCCCACTAAGCCCAAACCAGATGGGATGGCGTATCGCTGCAGAACGCGGTGGTAGCTATGCTGGTTAAGTGTGCCTTGAATTCTAAATAAATCACAGTCAATGTCACCAGCAAAGCACTCCCACATCATAACACCTCTTCCTCCATGCTTTACGGTGGGAAATACACATGCGGAGATCATCCATTCACCCACACTGCGTCTCACAAAATCACGGCGGTTGGAACCAAAAATCTCCAATTTGTACTCCAGACCAAAGGACAAATTTCCACCAGTCTAATGTCCATTGCTCGTGTTTATTGGCCGAAGAAAGTCTCTTCTTATTATTGGTGTCCTTATATAGTGGTTTCTTTGCAACATTTCTACCATGAAGGCCTGATTCACACAGTCTCCTCTGAACAGTTGATGTTGAGATGTGTCTGTTACTTGAACTCTGTGAAGCATTTATTTGGGCTGCAATTTCTGAGGCTGGTAACTCTAATGAACTTATTCTCTGCAGCAGAGGTAACTCTGGGTCTTTCATTCCTGTGGCGGTCCTCATGAGAGCCAGTTTCATCATAGCGCTTGAAGGTTTTTGCGACTGCACTTGAAGAAACTTTCAAAGTTCTTTAAATGTTCCGTATTGACTGACCTTCATGTCTTAAAGTAATGATGGACTGTCGTTTCTCTTTGCTTATTTGAGCTGTTCTTGCCATAATATGGACTTGGGTCTTTTACCAAATAGGGCTATCTCCTGTATACCCCCTACCTTGTCACAACACAACTGATTGGCTCAAACGCATTAAGAAGGAATGAAATTCCACAAATTAACTTTTAACAAGGCACACCTGTTAATTGAAATGCATTCCAGGTGACTATCTCATTAAGCTGGTTGAGAGAATGCCAAGAGTGTGTAAAGCTGTCATCAAGGCAAAGGTTGGCTATTTGAAGAATCTCAAATATGTTTAGATTTGTTTGACACTTTTTTGCATACTAAATGATTACATATGTGTTATTTCATAGTTTTGATGTCTTCACTATTATTCAACAATGTAAAAAATAGTAAAAATAAAGAAAAACCCTTGAATGAGTAGGTGTGTCCAAACTTTTGACTGGTATTGTAGATTTTCAAAACAAATAAATATATTGCAGCACCTGAAGCACTTTTTCAGTTATTGTCTGTGAACACTCAGACTTGCATCCAGGTCATCATGTCTCCCATTCCTTAAATTGGACCACATTTGTCTGCATCATTTACATTTAGGACAATAGAACACTTAGCAAAACAGAGATAGGGTAAACCCTACTTTGCAAAATGGGATGAGATTATTGATAAATGATTACTAGGCATCAAACAGCAGTTATTTCAACAGTGCTGTCCCCATTGTTTTTCACAATGAAAAATACTTAAATGCATTTAGTTGACGATGCAAATACCTGTGTGTTTGTTTGTGTGTGTGGGCACAGCACTCTGGGGTTGGCAGGGGTGGAAGCGGCTGAACGTGTGTGTGCATGAAATGGAGGCAGAATCTCACTGAAACACAAGCACCACTTACAGGGCACAGTTAGGGATTGGACATTAACAATGAGAACTCAATTGCTTGTTGCGTTGTAACTATCTATGTATGCACCACAATACAATCCCTGAAATATGCAGGTTCTCAGGGTCCGCAAAAGCCATTCTACTGTACGCGTAACCTATAGAATGGTGATAAGACTCACCCACACATCTTGAGTGACTCTTTCCCATTCTATCCAATGTGTTTTCGTTTCACTATCCATGCTATATGAGGCCAAAAAAAAAAAAAAAAACGACAGTACTAAAAACCATTAATTAAATAACCTCAAACCATTCTAAAACAAATTGATTGACCTCTCGATACCAGAGGCTGTACCTCTCCTCAGCATTCCTGGTCACTAATGGGGCGGAACAGTAGTAGACTGCTCTGTGTTCTCTGTGAGCCTTCAGATCCACAGGCTGGAGGAGGAGCCACAGACAGTGTTGTGGTAGACATGCAGTAGAGAGAGGAGCCCACTATAAAGCATGGTTCTTCTCAGGCTGGGGCTGGAAACTGGTGGGGCGTGTTGGGAGTACCCCTCCCCAACCCTGTGTCCCCTCCCTGGGCCCCGTCTCTGGAGCAGGGTCCTGACCACACTGCCGTGGTCCTCAGCTCAGAGCCAGCGGCCTGTCCCCTGGGTGCGCTTCCGTCTTTTCTTACAGATGTAGTAGATAGGGAAGGCCACGAGGCCTGAGGAGAGAGCGGAGCAGAGCAGAGCAGGAGAGAACAGGCGGGTTAATATAGAGCAGGCACTAAGCTCAGTGAAATGACTGACAGTTAATGCATGCAAATGAAGTGACAACTATCACAAGGAAGTGGCCTTGTGTAATAATCAAGCTGTTTAATCAGCTTCTTGATATGCCACACCTGGCAAAGAAGATATGCTCACTAACAAGGATGTAAACTAATTTGTGCACAAAATTGAGAGAAATAAGCTTTTTGTGTGTTTATTTCAGCTCATGAAACATGGGACCAACACTTCACATGTTGCTTTTATATTTTTGTTCAGTGTACAATATTTTTTATCTGGACACTTTCTGTTTTTGTTATTGCTACTATGCAAGTAACCATTTCATTGTACCATTTACACCTTCTGTATCCTGTGCATGTGACAAATAAACTTTGATTTTATTTGATATAGTGTGTGTTTACCAGAGTAGGTAATGTGAAGAACAACATGACTTGCACCAAAGTCAGACTAGGATATAGGCCAAGGACTAGATAAAGTGTATTTCTACCTGGAGTTTTTGAAATCTTTGGTTGTTTACTATACTACCGTACACACTCTGTTTAGCACATGGCCTCACATGTGAATCCTTAAAGAGATGGGTGGGGCTAAGGCTTAAGAGGTGCTGAATGGGTGTAGACAAGGAAGAGTTCTCCAGCACCAAAACATTCAAGGGCCATTTTCTCATTTCTTCAAGGGCCACGTCTCCTGAGTGGCGCAGTGGTCTAAGGCACTGTATCGCAGTGTTAACTGTGCCACTAGAGATCCTGGTTCGAATCCAGGCTCTGTCGCAGCCGGCCGCGACCGGGAGACTCATGGGCGGCGCACAATTGGCCCAGCGTCGTCCAGGGTAGGGGAGGGAATGGCCGGCAGGGATGTAGCTCAGTTGATAGAGCATGGCGTTTGCAACGCCAGGGTTGTGGGTTTGATTCCCACGGGGGGCCAGTATAAAAAAAAGATGTATTCACTAACTGTAAGTCGCTCTGGATAAGAGCGTCTGCTAAATGACGTAAATGTAAATGTAAATGTTCTCAAAAGTGGGGTTACAAGTCTATCAACTTTCAAAGTAAATTACTTTCCCATTGTTCCTCAACTTCAGTGTATGATATACCATTTTGTAGCTTTGAGTCTCTACTTTTATCCAATGTAAAAACAGCATTTAAAATGTTGCAACATCAGACCGAATCGAGGTGGTCGGTCACATTTGTGAGTGGGATTAACAAGTGACTGTCAACAGCTTTATATCAGTGTGTCATCCTCCCATCGCCCAGTGTAGCAGAGCTATCTGAACAAGCAGACACTTAGCCGCTTCTATCTGTTTACACCAAGACAAAGGTGGCCCTCGCCAGCACACCACAGCCACTGAACAAGCCGAGTCACACTACATGTACCTACCTGACCCAAGAGAAAGTAACACATTTTAGATTATATCTTTAAAGCACCACTGGTTATCTAATGTTGCATGTTTTCTTCAGGATTATAACAGGATGTAGCAGTGCTTACCTATGACCAGGGATAATGCTCCAACTGCCATCACCAGGACTATGACAACAGGGGCCACCACCACTTTACATACTGGAATGGGAGGGAGACAGAAGAGACAACACAAATGTTCATAAGGGGTCAGGACAAGTACATACATGAAAATGCATGGGGAGGACAGGGCAGTTTGGAATAGCACCTTCGTGTGCTATTTGGATGGGGTCTTCCTAATAAAAAAACAAAAATATGTATTTGTAGTATGGCGGCTGCATATTGGGGAAACATAGGCAAGGCTGTCAAAACAATAGAATGGGAGACGTGATAGTGCTTTAATAGAAGGTAGAGGGGGGTGTTGGAGCCCCTCTGAGGGCCACATTAGCCCACCGTCAACCATGTGTCAGATGTTTCCATTGGCAGCCTGCTGGCCTCTGACTAACTTTAGCTAACCCCACTCAGGGAGCAACAGCTGAGGCCCTGCATGCCACTACACGCCACACTGCCTGAGGCCCTGGGGGAACGACAGACAGAGTTGCAGTCAGAACACCTCTCAGAGGACTACTGCATCTCTCAGGAGAGCTGTTCACTATTCAGGCAGGGTCACAGAGACACGCGTAACCTCAGATAAGGACGTTCTGCTGATAAGGTCATGCAAACCACTGTGGTCGCTACTACAGTACACCGTTATTGTTCTGACTTCAGAGCCGTGACAACAATGCAAACTTTTAGCATAGGCAGTAACCGTATTGTGAAAACGGGTTATGAAAGAGTCATATCAGCAGCATCAAGCTAGTCCATGCTGTTTTGATCATCTTCATTATTGTGTGAATTATTCATAAGCAGCGGGATTTGATTAAGAAGATGAAAGGCCACCCACATGGTAATTGAAGTTTCCTCGTCACCCCTGCCTATCTATCTCTCTGAGTCTGATCACAGAGACCAAGTAGGAAAGTCACGGGAAGTGTCATAACTACATTCAGCAGTCATGCATAAGGCCTAAAAATTACAATTGCTAATCAGAGCATATTTTTAACAGCACTTGAGGGCCTATATACAGTGGGGAGAACAAGTATTTGATACACTGCCGATTTTGCAGGTTTTCCTACTTACAAAGCATGTAGAGGTCTGTAATTTTTATCATAGGTACACTTCAACTGTGAGATTCACATTGTATGATTTTTAAGTAATTAATTTGCATATTATTGCATGACATAAGTATTTGATACATCAGAAAAGCAGAACTTAATATCTGGTACAGAAACCTTTGTTTGCAATTACAGAGATCATACGTTTCCTGTAGGTCTTGACCAGGTTTGCACACACTGCAGCAGGGATTTTGGCCCACTCCTCCATACAGACCTTCTCCAGATCCTTCAGGTTTCGGGGCTGTCGCTGGGCAATACGGACTTTCAGCTCCCTCCAAAGATTTTCTATTGGGTTCAGGTCTGGAGACTGGCTAGGCCACTCCAGGACCTTGAGATGCTTCTTACGGAGCCACTCCTTAGTTGCCCTGGCTGTGTGTTTTCGGGTCGTTGTCATGCTGGAAGACCCAGCCACGACCCATCTTCAATGCTCTTACTGAGGGAAGGAGGTTGTTGGCCAAGATCTCGCGATACATGGCCCCTTCCATCCTCCCCTCAATATGGTGCAGTCGTCCTGTCCACTTTGCAGAAAAGCATCCCCAAAGAATGATGTTTCCACCTCCATGCTTCACGGTTGGGATGGTGTTCTTGGGGTTGTACTCATCCTTCTTCTTCCTCCAAACACGGTGAGTGGAGTTTAGACCAAAAAGCTCTATTTTTGTCTCATCAGACCACATGACCTTCTCCCATTCCTCCTCTGGATCATCCAGATGGTCACTGGCAAACTTCAGACGGGCCTGGACATGCGCTGGCTTGAGCAGGGGGACCTTGCGTGCACTGCAGGATTTTAATCCATGACGGCGTAGTGTGTTACTAATGGTTTTCTTTCAGGCTGTGGTCCCAGCTCTCTTCAGGTCATTGACCAGGTCCTGCTGTGTAGTTCTGGGCTGATCCCTCACCTTACTCATGATCATTGATGCCCCACGAGGTGAGATCTTGCATGGAGCCCCAGACCGAGGGCGATTGACTGTCATCTTGACCTTCTTCCATTTTCTAATAATTGTGCCAACAGTTGTTGCCTTCCCACCAAGCTGCTTGCCTATTGTCCTGTAGCCCATCCCAGCCTTGTGCAGGTCTACAATTCTATCCCTGATGTCCTTACACAGCTCTCTGGTCTTGGCCATTGTGGAGAGGTTGGAGTCTGTTTGATTGAGTGTGTGGACAGGTGTCTTTTATACAGGTAACGAGTTCAAACAGGTGCAGTTAATACAGGTAATGAGTGGCGAACAGGAGGGCTTCTTAAAGAAAAACGAACAGGTCTGTGAGAGCCGGAATTCTTACTGGTTGGTAGGTGATCAAATACTTATGTCATGCAATAACAGTTGAAGTGTACCTATGATAAAAATGACAGACCTCTACATGCTTTGTAAGTAGGAAAACCTGCAAAATCGGCAGTGTATCAAATACTTGTTCTCCCCACTATATACAGCCATATTTTCAGAGGCTACTGATTGCTTGCTTACCTAATAATAATAACCATAAAAGGTAACAGGTAATAACTTAGTGAAACCCAATGTGTCCCCTCTATGAAGGCTTTAAGGGTCTCTGGGGCCCGGGCTTAGGCTGGGTAGACTCACCACACACGGACCCCCGGACCAGCCGGCGGAGGTGGGGCTTCTCAGGGAGGTAGCGGTACTTGCAGCCGAACACGCTGAGGTTGGACGTGTGATCCCCGAAGAATCGCAGGTGGCGGTACTTCTCCCCACAGCGGTAGCAGAAGTTGGTGTTGCACTGGGTGCAGTTCATGTGATCGCAGCCCTCCGTCCTCTGGATGTGGATCTGGGGAGAGTGACATCATCAGTGAGCGGCATATGACTTCATGAATGCTCCATCTATAAAGCCTTTATAAGTTGTTGTTCGTTTAAAGTGAGATCCTAACTTCTGCACAAATTAATAACTCTGAGAATATGTAGCAATTACGAGATTATCAGTTAGCTCACCGAAGGTCTTTTCAGAATATAAAACATAGGCTGTAGCCTATACTTCAAGCTGTGTGGTGGACAAAGTGTTTTGGTTTGTTTTAAGGTAAAATAATGAAACATTTTGTCCCGATATCTGAGCATCACTCAACCCCTCTCCCTGACTCATGCTGACTGACAGTACATTGAGAGGAGAGTGCTGCCATGGACAGACAGCTAGCTAGCAGCCCACACATCAGTGATGGATCCCTCCAGTGCTGTGTTGTGTTTGCTGTTGTTGCTCTCCAAAAGGCCTCTCACTGTTTATGAAACAAATAACTGACGTGGCTCACTAAATCTAATTTGGTATTGACTTTCTGACCAGGGCTCGGTCTTATGACTTCCTGGAATGCTTCATTTCCAGCCATTGTTACAAGTGGACTAGAGAGACGAAGACAAGAACAATATCTCTCTCTCTCTCTCTTTCCTAACCCTGTGTCTGAAGCTCTGAGAGAGAGAACATGCACTGAGGATACATGGCTGTAGAACTCCTGAAAAATACATATCTAATAGCCTTATGTGGACATAAAGAGCTGGCGAACTGTCGGTCCTCTCTTGAGATTCCTTAAACACAATTAGCAGGTTTTGCTGGGATACAGGACTGGCTGTGTTTGCTCACTTTAATCACCACCTTCCTAGTCAAGAGAACACCCTTTATGACCATGTGAGGAGGCCTAACATTATCATTGTTTTGCTGCAAAACTGTCGACCTCAATCTTCCTCAAGTAGCAAGGTTTGCTATTTTTGTAAACTCTCCTGGCCCTGTCACTCACTTTGCAGCGGGGGCACTTCTGGGCGTTCCTCTGGCCGTGCTCGATGACACTGGCCCAGTGACGCAGCAGCTTGTCCCCCTTCCTGTATTCATGGCACTTCAGACCATCATGCCAGGGGGCGTGGCACTTGAAACACCACACAAACTGGCACTTGGTGCACTGGATCTGCAGAGAGGGCACAGACATGTGATTGGCTAGATGCACGGCATACAGTATAAGTGCATAGATGTGCCTGTCTGCATGGACTAAAAGCCTCCATCATTAATGATGCACAATGATGCACATTGTCGACGATTTAAGGAACCTAAGCGTTTCCCAAAGCATTCCACATGGTCAGATTATATGCATTCTTCAGAAAGACATACATAATTCAGATATTTTCTTATTATTACTGTATAATATCATGGTGCATATTAGAAACAGCAGAGGCCCTGTACTTTTACTTAGGCTCAGTCCTTCTGTTTAATATCTGATCACAGAACATTATAGGCCCCCTCTCTCACCTTGTATTTGTACTCTGCCCTACTGGGGGTGCGTCCTTTCAGCGAGGTGAACTGGCTGCACTGGGGACAGGGTTTGGTGCTGGAGTCGACCCGGCTCAACTCCAGGAAGTACTTGTATTTAGCCACTTCCTCGATGCCCAGGTGGGACACCACCAGGCTTTCCTCCAGGTAACCACTGCACTCCGTGATGGGGCACACGATGTCCGCTCTGCCCACCCTGACCTGGGGGAGACAGACATTACACAGGGATCAATGACGAGAGACGTGGTTCATGATCTACTCTACAGAATGCTGTATGACAAATTAGGATCAACTATTGAATGGACAGTGGTCATAAGTTACATGCAAACACATACACAATGCTATTGGCCGTAGATCCGGTTATAAAATATTGTCAATACATTAAGCTAATGGATTGCATAATGTGTTATGTAGATTAAGGGTAAACAAAGCAAACACTACAGTGTACATACAATACAGAACATATACTGAGTGTACAAAACATTAAGAACACCTTACTAATATTGCGTTGCACCCCCTTTTGCCCTCAGAACAGCCTCAAATCGTTGGGGCATGTGTCGAAAGCGTTCCACATGGATGCTGGCCCATGTTGTGTCAAGTTGGCTGGATGTTATTTGGGTGGTGGACCATTCTTGACACACACAGGAACTGTTGAGCGTGAAAAACCCAGCAGCGTTGCCGTTCTTGACACCCTCAAACCGGTGCACCTGGCACCTACTACCATACCCCATTCTAAGGCACTTAAATCTTTTGTCTTGCCCATTCACCCTCTGAATGGCACACATACACAATCCATGTCTCAAGGCTTCAAAATCCTTCTTTAACCTGTCTCCTCCCCTTCATCTACACTGACTGAAGTGGATTTAACAGGTGACATCTATAAGGGATCATAGCTTTCACCTGGATTCACCTGGTTAGTCTATGTCATGGAAAGAGCAGGTGTTCCTAATGTTTATACACTCAGTATACATGGCCTGGCTGGTACTGTAGGCTAACTGACATAAGGCAAAATTCATTGTTACCCTAATACCCTTATAACAGAAATACTGTGTGTGTGAGAATTTCTTTAGGATCTGTGACCTTTACTGGTTCCCAGAGGCAGGAGTAGAGCAGGGAGAGAGGAGAGATCTCTGGCATCAATAAGATTTCATTTCACCCACATTGTTCACGTGACGTGGTGTCAGACTGGGACTTCCTGGGTGAAGCTGGAAGGCTTCCATGAACAACAGTAGCGACTTACTACTACAACTGTGGAAAACAACAGAGGAAGAAGGGCCTAGTACAAGGTCTCAGTGAGAGTCTTAGCCTCCTCCCACTACCACCTAGGGCATGGTGCAGACAGAAGGGCAGGCCAGACCCAGGCCTCCCAGAGGATTAGTCCACAGTACTGCTGATCTGATCTGAGTAATCCCCTGCCGGCTAGGCCTGTAGTACATGTCCATACAGTAGACTGAGTAGAGACTAGAGCAGGGGTCGGCAACAGGCGGCCCGCGGGCCAAAACTGACACGAGTTTTAAGTTTGAAAAAATATCATAAAAAAAAATAAAATAAATGTTTGTCAAAATACACTGTAAAATCACCAGGAATTCAGCTAAAAATTAGTTCAATTTAGGAAATCTGTTCCCTAGTATTCCCACATATAAAAAAGAGACATAATAATATCATGTAATCAAGTTATGAAATTTTTTTTATTTTCAAATACAATCTATTTTTGGCCTTATTGTGGTAAATTTGCAGTGTACAAATTATTATAATTATGTTCCGACCCCCCCCCAACCATCTGTTCCGACAAAAAACGGCCCACAACTGAATTTTGTAACCTACCCCTGGACTAGAGAGTGACGCAGCACAGCTCTGGGGTAATGCCCTGCAGTCTGTCCTCTGGGCCTATGGGCCTTGTTACTGGCCCTGCACTCAGCTCAGTTCCTCAGGGCCAGGCTGTGTACTCTGTTCTGCTCTGGGGTTGCTCAGTGCACTGCAGCAGCAGTTCAGCCATTGTTGCCCAATGAGCTCACATGTGTTATTACATGAGAGGTTGGTGATCAGAACTAGGTAGGCCTAAAGTGATAATAACACACAGACTGTTGTTTAGAGGTAGCTGATCGAAACCTCTCCTAGAAAGAGCAGTCACAGTGCAACTGAGTTGATAATCTGGGTAGACAGTGGGATATCAATAATACACTCTGTTCTTTCCCAGAACTATGAAATCAGCCAACTCCTGTGGAGTGGGGACCTCCATTTGATTTCAGTCCAGACAAAATAACCTGTATTAGCTGATAACTGTATTTATTAATTTCAGGCTTGGTTCCTCTAATAATATGTCTAGCCTATTGTAACTAACCCTGTATGGCCACCAGCATGATACACGTATCTACTGGGGCTGGGAATTACCAGGGACCTCACGATACGATATTATCACGATACTTAGGTGCCGATACAATATGTATTCCTGGTCCTCTGTAGCTCAGCTGGTAGAGCACGGCGCTTGTAACGCCATGGTAGTGGGTTCGATCCCCGGGACCACCCATACACAAAAAAAAATGTATGCACGCATGACTGTAAGTCGCTTTGGATAAAAGCGTCTGCTAAATGGCATATTATTATTATTATTATTATTGTGATTCGATACTACGATTGTATTGCGATTAGATGTCCCAAACATATTACTCACCATATAAGTTCTCTCACGTCACCCCGCTCCTCCGCACACTACACTGGCTTCCAGTTGAAGCTCGCATCTGCTACAAGACCATGGTGCTTGCCTACGGAGCTGTGAGGGGAACGGCACTTCCGTACCTTCAGGCTCTGATCAGTCCCTACACCCAAACGAGGGCATTGCGTTCATCCACCTCTGGCCTGCTGGCTCCCCTACCTCTGCTGAAGCACAGTTCCCGCTCAGCCCAGTCAAAACTGTTCGCTGCTCTGGCACCCCAATGGTGGAACAAGCTCCCTCACGACGCCAGGACAGCGGAGTCACTCACCACCTTCCGGAGACATTTGAAACCCCACCTCTTTAAGGAACACCTGGGATAGGATAAAGTAATCCTTCAACCCCCCCCCCAAAAAAAAAATGTGTAAAGTGGTTATCCCACTGGCTATAAGGTGAATGCACCAATTTGTAAGTCGCTCTGGATAAGAGCGTCTGCTAAATGACGTAAATGTAAATGTAATATACAGTGGGGAGAACAAGTATTTGATACACTGCCGATTTTGCAGGTTTTCCTACTTACAAAGCATGTAGAGGTCTGTAATTTTAATCATAGGTACTCTTCAACTGTGAGAGACATAATCTCTGGATGGCCCCATCCATCCTCCCCTCAATACAGTGCAGTCGTCCTGTCCCCTTTGCAGAAAAGCATCCCCAAAGAATGATGTTTCCACCTCCATGCTTCATGGTTGGGATGGTGTTCTTGGGGTTGTACTCATCCTTCTTCTTCCTCCAAACACGGCGAGTGGACTTTAGACCAAAAAGCTCTATTTTTGTCTCATCAGACCACATGACCTTCTCCCATTCCTCCTCTGGATCATCCAGATGGTCATTGGCAAACTTCAGACGGGCCTGGACATGCGCTGGCTTGAGCAGGGGGACCTTGCGTGCACTGCAGGATTTTAATCCATGACGGCGTAGTGTGTTACTAATGGTTTTCTTTGAGACTGTGGTCCCAGCTCTCTTCAGGTCATTGACCAGGTCCTGCCGTGTAGTTCTGGGCTGATCCCTCACCTTCCTCATGATCATTGATGCCCCACGAGGTGAGATCTTGCATGGAGCCCCAGACCGAGGGTGATTGACCGTCATCTTGAACTTCTTCCATTTTCTAATAATTGCGCCAACAGTTGTTGCCTTCCCACCAAGCTGCTTGCCTATTGTCCTGTAGCCCATCCCAGTCTTGTGCAGGTCTACAATTGTATCCCTGATGTCCTTACACAGCTCTCTGGTCTTGGCCATTGTGGAGAAGTTGGAGTCTGTTTGATTGAGTGTGTGGACAGGTGTCTTTTATACAGGTAACGAGTTCAAACAGGTGCAGTTAATACAGGTAATGAGTGGAGAACAGGAGGGCTTCTTAAAGAAAAACTAACAGGTCTGTGAGAGCCGGAATTCTTACTGGTTGGTAGGTGATCAAATACTTATGTCATGCAATAAAATGCAAATGAATTACTTAAAAATCATACAATGTGATTTTCTGGATTCCGTCTCTCACAGTTGAAGTGTACCTATGATAAAAATGACAGACCTCTACATGCTTTGTAAGTAGGAAAACCTGCAAAATCGGCAGAGTATCAAATACTTGTTCTCCCCACTGTATCTGCTGCAGAGGGACAAGAGAGAGCCATGAGAAAATGAGTTTTGATCAGTCATGGAAATAAAAGTGCTGAAAACATGTTGGCTCACTATTTAAAAAGAAGATGGAGAACAAGCTATAGGAAGAAAAATACCAGAGTTTTGACCGACTAGCGCTAGCTAACGCTACCTACAGTAGCACTTTTTTATTTATTTTTACAAATCAATACTTGGAGTCAAAAATGTATATAATATCGTCTAAAAATGATATTGCAAAATGTGACTGTAGAAATATTTTCCCCCATCACTAATAACTACTGTGTGTGTAAATAAAAGGAAGTAAATATGTGGGTAGTTTTTGTTGTGACTTGTATTGGGAAGTCCCAACTATCGGCTAAAGCTGCACAGACAAGGTCACAGGCTTAGGACTAGCTAGGCTGTGACGCTGATGAGACGAGACAGTCAGTAAGAGAGTCGCCACCTGTGAAGGTGTGACGAGGGTGTGAAGGAGTACCCCGGGCGACCCTGGAGCCCACCTCTACACCCATCAACCAGGCCTGTGACCCTGACAGCCAACACGGCAGGGACACTGGAGCAGTGTCAAGGTGTGAAAAATATATAGGCCTATAACATCTCCCTTCCCCTCCAAGAGCAGTGTGCCCCTGGATTTCACCAAGGCATAACATCAGTGGTCTAGTGCTGTGTGTTAATACACCTAGCATAACTGCCCTGCTGCTAAAGAGCCAAACACATGTGAGCAGAGGAGAAACTGTAGTCCACCACAGCCTCACAGATATTAATGAGCGATCTCCGGGAGTGCGTTTTCATCCCTTTATTAGGTCTAATTTTAGCCCTGATTTCACTAATGACCAGAGGAGCAGATTAACTTTATTAGGCAGAATGCTTCTGTCCTCAGGCGACC